CAAGGATTATCTCAAATGAAAACGTGGGGTAAGGACAGATGACATAGTTTAGTAAAACATCCAACTGCGTAAAAATGAACTAAAAAGATAAAAACAAGCCTTAGTGTTCACAAAATACAGTCGGAGGCATCAATCACTAATTATTTTGTTGGTGTAAGTACCTACCTAAGCTATGCCTGCCGCTGTCATAGAAAGACTTTATTATCATCCCCCTTTTAAAAACCAAAATAAAAACTATCCCATGTATTTTCCCGGGTCTTAAACTATCTCTACTACTAATTTCATCTTAATCAGTTCAATAGTTTCAGCGTGAAAAGTAATAAACATACTGAGAGACCTACTTTCGCATTTATAATTTTTGTATGGATTTTTAAAGCGCTTCAGAAAATCACGTACCTAGATTAATTAATCCCTAATCAATAAACCAAGATGCCTTCACCCCAATCAAGATAGCACTCGCCAAACTTGGGATCGGCTTATGAATAGCCGGGCCCCAATCGGGCGGAAAGTCCCTGCAAAGGTTTTAATCTGTTTAATTAAGTATTAATTAGATGTTAATAGGCTATCAGTCAATTGTCTCTGGAACACGGGTCCGGAGGATTTCGGGTGATTGTGCTAATCCGATGGAGGTTCGATCGTGATTGATAAATTAAACGCCTTGAATAACCAGTGGCTAACTAGTAAACAAGTCTCAACCCCGAGTGATGCGGTTCGATTCCCTTTGGTGTCCGATAAAGTGAAAAAATTAGTGATGTGCCGACTATGGTCTTTGCCGACTAACCGACTAGCCGACTAATCGGTTTTCAAATTGCCGATTAGTCGGCCGACTAATCGGCGCGCATCCTAGGCCCACTGATTCCTCTCCACTCTCCACGGTGATGGTCAGCGAGCTGAGGGAGGGCATGGGGGTAGGGTCCGTCTGCATTGCACGGACCACCACCACCGTCGGATAGGCAGGGCCCGCCATACAGGTGGGCAATTGCCGGGACGGACTGTGATAGTTGGTGGCTTTGTCCGGATTCCCATAATACTTCACACTAAGGCGATCGACGGAGCTCAGGGGTTATTTGTGTGGGTATTCCTCATCCTTCCGATGAGAGGAGCCTCACATAATCAACCACTTCCCCGCAGGGTAGGTATGCAATTCCATGCATTTTTTCCCCCAAAAAAAGTGTCATCATTTTTATATGGACAAATTGCATACACTTTACACATTTGTGATGATTTAATGGTATTTTTAATTAATCTTAACTTTGTAAGAATTTAGACTGATTGCCAAAATTTTAAATCAGGTGAAACCACTTTTAACTGATTTTTGCAGTAAAAAGTGGTTTCGCTAAACGCCCTTGGTCTACCTCATTATCATCTTGGTGATTATGAGTTTCATTTTATTAACATATTCAATTTTGTAATGCGCCGATTATAATAATCGGCATATTTTGCCGAATAGTCGTCACTAGTCGGCCGACTACAAATGATGCCGAATAGTCGGCTTTCCCGACTAGTCGGCGACTAGTCGGCCCATCTCTAGAAAAAATCATTTCAGATTTAAATTTACATCATTTTAATAATGAAATGAGATGAGAAAGTGCTTAAAACGACACTTTGAAAAGCTGGGCAGCGATTATAATTATTATTATTTATAGGTATTTATAAAGAACATAGTATTTATTTAGAACTTGCATGCACATAAACACTGTACAGAAGACGGACTTAATGTCAGTTGGCATTCTCCTCCAGTCAACCTTAGGGTAAATTTTATTTGTTATTTGTAGGTTTAACACACATTATCCCTCCCACAGAGCTAAAAATTATTGCGTTAAGTAGGTACTTACACTGATATCATTCTATTGTCGTCTCTTAGTTTTAGTGACCTCAAGATTATTTTATAGAAGACCTACCTAAATCGCAATATTACCTAACTACAAAACCGTGATAATAACCTGCCTTACTGTTTGCAATATTTCCTCTTTCCACTAGTGCGGCCGCCCCAACCGGTGCACTCTTTTATGGCACGTGTAGGTATACCTAATACTAAGCACACACACGAACCCTTTTTATTCCACACACTGGGCCTAAATAAACGCTGTACTACACGTAGTACATTATTATTCTGTATGACCTACTACAAAGTGGGCCATGATCCCAGACTGGGCCTTATTAAATGCTCTCGAGAGGTCAAATTTCATTTTCCTTAATGAATAATACTCTGGAACTGGGCTCGTACATCTTCGGATTCCAGAAAATAATATCTACTTGACGGCCCGTTTGGATGAGGTATTGGGGAAACGTTTAAAATGGGGAGAAAATGAGGGGAGATTTTTAACGGTTGAAAACCAAGGCAAATACCGCGACTTGACTTAGTAAAAGTACCTATACTCCTACGTGTTTACTCATTTAATTAAGACACTCATTTCTACTCCTACGTGTTTACGTAAACACGTAGGAGTAGAAATGAGTGTCTTTATAAAAAAAATAAACTTCAATCAAGTAAGGTTCAGGATGTTGGGAACAAAATAAATAAGTAGGTACCTACGAGTGATTTTACACGTCTGTATCCCAAAGTCTCTCTCTTTTAGGTACCACTAGACCACAGGGGTAAGAGGGGATTTGCTGTCGACTCTAATTACAAAAAAAATCTGAAAAAAAAACAAATAAAGAAAAAAATTACTTTTTTTTAAACAGAACATACAGATAGTGAAGATACATGAATATAAAGTTAGATGGGGCAGTAAGATTCTGGAATGGAAATCACGTAACGGTAAGCGCAGCGTGTGACATCCACCCACAAGGCAGATGGTCTTTGCAAAGGTTGCAGGAAGGCGCTGGATGCAGGCCGCTGCCAAACGGTCAATCTGGATATCATTGAGGGAGGCCTATGTTCAGCAGTGGACATCCTTTGCCTGAAATGATGAAGAAAGTTAAGTAGATGATGGACTATTTCTTGCAGACTTTTTTTTCTTTTTGCCGGAATACAGGCCTACCTAACTGACTCTCCCGCCAACTCTCCAGGCAAGTGGCCCCCAACGGGCCCCAGTCAGACTAATGTCCCATAATCTTAATAGCAATCTCGGTCCCATAATGTCCAGGCCATCAGCGCTTTCCGAAAATAACCTCCTTAAAGCCACCGCTTTTTGCTGATTGGTTCATTTTTATAATAACTTCACTTCGTTAGGCTCGAATTGGTTATGTAATGAACGCGTTTTTTTGATAACCTGAGTAATGGCCGATTTATTTCGAGATAATGCTTTTTCATTTGTTTCAGGCTTAGGTATTTAATTTAAGATTTACAGAGTTTGCAGAAATCTTATTAATGTTCAAATTCAAATTCAAATATATTTATTCATAAAACATAGGTACAAAGGGTGATAATTATAATTGCAGTGAGCTCTATGCTTACGGCAATTACTTAAATGTTAACGGCAAACAAATTAAATACAGGTCTATGGTGCTAAGCTTTAAGTCCGCAACTTTATCTTGCGACCGGATCAAGCTGTGGCATCAAGTTTAGGTACCTATGTTTGTTATAAATAACTAGACAACTTACTATACATAGGTACTACCTCTTTATACACTTGTGTTGCTCTCACATCACGGAGTTTTGAGTTATTATTTGTTCTCATCCGGGAATTAAACTCTGTAGTTCCTGTCTATTAGCCTATTAATTACTTACCAATCTAAGTGCACGACTCATTTTCAAACCAAACGATCTAGGCTTACCATAGTTTATTGACTCCAATAAAGTGTAAAAAAATCTATTTTTTTTTTATGACTATTAACTTAATTCTGTGCCTACACTCAGACAACAGCACATCAAGCTAAATACTGTGCAATGTAGGTACTACCCTTAGATTAATAAAACATTCCCGTATTTAATTTTTGAAAGCCAAATTGAAGCAAAATACGCGTCGAATTGTAATAGGTACTTACTTATGAAATGTAACACTGGTCATTTTCTTTCGTTTTTCTTATGTATTTTAGACACCCTTTCACAGCATAAACCGTTTTAATTAATTAAAATACGTCGGACGTGTTTACCAATTTTTCACTTTGACAGTTCATGTGACGTTTACGGGTAAGCCGTGCCGGCTCCCTAAAACCTGCCTCACCTTTCGTGCACTGACTATCTATCTAGGTTTTATTAATCTAAGGTACTACCTAATTGTACCTACCTACTTAGGAAGCAATTTTATATGTGTAGAATAAGATATTCATACTTAGTCATAAACGTTTATTGCATCATCTTACATTTAGATCTTAAATAATAGGTACCTACAAAGTCCCGAACTCCCGAAACATGGCCCTGTATAAGGGCATTGCAATTGTTTTTTGTAAGTAAGGTTCCAGTGCAGACATACCTACTAGGAGCAGAGAGTACCTAGGTGTGTACCTAAGTAGGTACCTAGTTGTAGGTGCATTAGTTTTGCAATTTTACAATAGATGTCACTCATGACTGACTCCGTAAACCTTATTAAAAGCACATCGTTACGTGAATAATACAAGAATTAATTGTAAGATTTTTTTAGTTCTCAGAGAAATAAAATCTAAATTTATTTTCGATTCCCAACTTATTCATGAATATTTTATTTGACCGTCTTCAGAGGAACCTATGTCGATAAAACAGTTCGAAAAGTAGAGTAATAGGTATTTTGAGCCATCTAGTGGATTTTACTCAAAGCACGTACTGAAATAGCAAGATAAAAGCATGTTGGTAAAGTCCTAAATTATGTGCCAAGTGAAAAATATATTTTTTCATATTAGAAGCCGTAGAATTAATTGAACTTAATTCAGTAGTGTATTTTTTAATTTTCCTCAACACTAAAAACATCGTTATAATAATATCCTGTCTTATTTACGACAAAAATCGTGATAAGTGGCGTCATCTCTAGGGATTTTATGAAGAAAATTACTGCCATCTATGACAATTTTATTGCAACTTCATTGTAGTTCGCATTCCATCCGTGGCGCTCACAACCCAAACAATAAATTCCAACATGGTGGCAATGTGCTACACAGTTTGAAAATGCAGGTCGTGTCATGCTTTGAAAAAAATCATTTTATACTTGAATTTGGTGGAAAATGTCGGACCCTAAACGTGCTACTCTTATAACAGTGGGTGCTCCAAAAAGTGCAAAGAAGAATGTGAATAAAACAGTGAGATTAACTATAAATTTGGTTGAAAGCAACGAAAGTAAATATCCGGAGCTGAATTACAAGGAACTAGTCATTGCAGAAGAGGTAAGTTATAACAGAAAATCATAGCAATTTACGCAACCATACTGGTTTTCCAGCTCTTTGTACTTTAGGGAATTAGTTAAAAAAATCCAGACCCGATATCCTTGACGGTTTGGCGAGGAAAGGTGGTTTCGTTAGGGCCCTGTTGAGATCGTTTTAGGATATTTTTTGCTTACGTTACACAGCTTTGTATTAGGTTTGTGACATGAATTTGCGTCCACGAGCTGTGCGAGAAGCCCAGATAGCGGTCGCCATGTTTGCAACAATGATAGGAAAACGTTGTCAGCCTAGGACATCTTTCGGAGACTCCAATGTTTTGGTTCACAGCATCAGTAGGTTTTTATTGTTTTTGCTCTATCAAGGGCTATTTCCTTAGTGTATTATCATAAAAATTACACGTTGCAGCATTGCTTACGACATATCATCGCCTGCAATATCAAAATGTATGCGAAAGTAGATTCAATGACCTAGGTTAACCTGCGAATTCGAGTGTTGTTTCCGGCAAGGAGAGATGTTTACTTTTAGGTTACTTTTTAGAAGTTGGGTTTAATTCATTTTAGATGAAAGTATTAACATCTGTATGTCATTAGGGTTGTGTAGGTATATAACATGTATATGTTTACTGTATACAGAGAGTATCGTGCGTACGTGTATAGGTGCTATGTATTGCGGTACTGCTCTAACCCGCGAAAAGGATTATGGGGATTTTTGTGATTTCAGGGGACTGAATATTGACCGTTTTGTGTATTGTTTTGGTTATGTTTGTTTGCAAACTCGTTCCCGATGTTGCCAAGTGGCTTTCGCTCGCAAAATGCATCTGACAGCTTCGGTTTAGCGACCTTTTCAACTTCGTAGCTTTTATCGATTTGGAAGTAAAGTTAGATGGGTAAGTATAGGTTATATACTTTTGTGTTATGTACTATCGTTTGTGTGCGTGAGTGATGGCAAGGTGTTAGTGGATAGGTATATAAAGTGACGTTGTCTCTCGATTTCGTGATGCGGTTTGCGATTTTATCGAAGTGTGGGTTCTTTTGCATTATGATTATTGCGTAGGTGTTATCTTCTACCTACGTTTGTTTTTATTTTTTCGCTCGGTGTGAGGACTGACTTTATTTTTGCGTAGCGTTATTTTGGGATGCGATTTATTTTTCTTATGTAGTGTTATGATTTATGAAAGTGATGGATGGATGATTGTTTAACAACTTTTGTGGAGTTAATAGTAAATAACATCGATTTGATAATGTTCGAATTAGGAAATAATTATGTGATAGGTACTACCTACTATTAAAATTTAAAACAGACATGACAAAAAATAAAAAATTAAGTTGAAAAAGTCTCAATGTTGTTAGGCATCTAATGAGTTCATCGCATTTGTAAGGTTAAGGTCAATGACCCAATCATAATTTTAGTTTTTAGCATTGGAATTCAAGATTAGTGAATTGAGTGATTCATTCTCATATCTGTTATCTCTTTCGCGCCTATGAAAATAAGCGGAAAGAGCGAAAGAAAAAAAAGTTCGCGGTTTTAATGTCACGTGATCATGGAGTAATCGAGCTTCCGCTCACATAATCGCTGCGGCGCGTGCCGTCCAAACAGTAATAAACCCTATTTTAATGCAATAAGGTTTAATTTGATGTGATTATATTAATATTTGTAGTAATTTGATCAAATTCGTTTGTCGGCGCGTATTGAATCTTATTGTGAGTGCGATAGAGTTCGATTATGAATGAATTTGGTGGTAACGGAGGATCATCTTGTGATAATACGATTAGCGACAGGCGTGCGTAAATGCGCACTACTGATCGATCGGAATACTGATATTATTAAAGGAGTCACGATATTTTTAATGTAGGTTTCAAATTCAATAGTGAACATTAGGGTGCAGTTTTATTTTGTTTTAAAAAATCTGAATAGGTAGGTAGCTTCCTAACATTGCTAAAATCTGGTTTTTTTTTACCTACCTTCCTAAAATTGATACTATCTCTGTGAGATTTTAACAGATATACAAATGCGCTTAGATACCTACAAAGGGTATTTTAATAATTCGATATTTTGATCATTTGTTATTCGATATGGTGGAGTTAATCCTCTACAATGGAATTGAATTGAATGTGAAGATAAAGAAAAAATCACTCAATTACTCTTGATGACTGTAGTCAAGTTGAAATTTATTTTTTGGAAGTCTTAATTTGATGAAACTGCGGGAAAATGTTTGTACAGGGATACACCCATGATATGATTTCTTTACTGTGTCTGTCTGTGTGTTTACTATCAAATTAGGTATGGGATTCACAATTTATTTATACTGCATTTTCGTAACGCACCTACCTACTTGATACATATAACATAACTATATTTTCCTTTACATAATTTGATTGACATAATTTTTACAAGCTTTATATTGAGTTCACTTGTTAGTAGTTATGTGTGGGACAAATCTTGCAACTAAATTTAAGACCAGTTCTCCTCAACCGATTGAGCTGAAATTTAGTATACCTATGTAAGTAAGTACCATTGAGCTGGTCTGATGATGGAGTCAGGAGGTGGCCATAGGAACTCCTAAACGAAACGGCGGAAACTTATCGAGTTTGGGTTCGTTGGATTCGTTTTCCCGAGCACTTTGGTGCTGAATGATGACTAAAAAGTGTAAAATAAAAAAAACTTTTTTAAAAACAAGCTTTATTCTGAAATGCAGTTGTACTAAAACAAAAATAATAATTGTATGCAGTGTTCAAATAATTTCGAAAGCTTGTAGCGCAAACAGAAAAACAGAGGTACATTCCATGCTCGATACAAGCTTTCGAAATTATTTGAACACTGCATACAATTATTATTTTCGTGAAATGAAATAACTAATAATATCTTGTGTAATTCACTTTTTTTAATCTGCTAGTCTCTACTATCCTGTTATCAAATATTATAGTTTGATTGTTGAATCACACTATCATCTATCATCCCAAAATATGATTTCATGCCCGATCTGGAAGCTTTTGATTCTCAATAATCATTTACTAGCAGTTTTATTTTTTGAACATATTATGTATGGTATCTACGGGAAAAACTTGACATCATATTATTTATCATAATTTCCATTTTTCCATACAAACATTGCAATTTCATTGCATACAATTAAATTACTTACTAAATATAGGATTTTTGATCTTTTCAGAGAAAGAAAAAGGTTGAAAATGGCAAAACCCCAGGACTGGACCCGTTCTCCGACAACGATGATGATGTGGCAAGAGTCGCTAGGAAGTTTGAACAGAAATATGTAAGTACAATATTCTATTTATTTTTAATATGCAGGTCTACATTTAAATTCAGTAGTGATCCATAAACTAAACATTTACATTACCATAATTAGAATTTACAATCAGTGATAATATGAAACTAGCAATGAGTGAGCTATGTGTCATATTATGCAAAAAATTTGGACAACCATTATTATCATTATTATGTGCATTGTTTTGTAAATTTTATTTTAGTGACTGTCTTTAGACTTTAGCCTAGGCGCAGACCACCGATTTTTAGTTGGGTCGGACTATTGATCAGTATGGAGATGTATGAAAGTGCGCACATTACACCGATTTGGTATCGGACGATTCTTCATACAAATTAGAATCGGGCCCGACTAGCGGCCAACTAAAAGTTGGTGGTCTGCGCCTAGCTTGAAAGCTAAATAAATGGAAGCCTTTATTCAGTAATCCTAATATCAATAAAATACTATTAATATTATCCTGTGCTTTTAGGGCGGGAAAAGCACGTACGGCCGAACCGGCCGTTCCAAACACGACGACTTTNATAACATAACTATTATTTTCCTTTACATAATTTGATTGACATAATTTTTATCAAAGTTGAATCTTTCCGCTTATTCAATTTCCCCAGGGTTTTTTGTTTCTGCATTTAATGATAAGCAACTTACTGGAAACAATGAAATTGAAATACATAATAAGACTTATTTCTAAAATGCATAACCACACTCAAATTATTTTCTTATTTTATTTATATTAACATACTAATAGTTAAAGTAGTTTTGCCATAATCCCCACGCTTGGCAGGCAGGTTGAAAAATGCAGTTTAAAAGATTGATGTTATTCAGAGAGCGCTGCTGCCCGTTCTCTGTTTGATGTGTAGTCCCTCCACCCTCCCCAAACCCTCCATTATAGTGGAGGAGGCTCATAGTCCTGCAGTGGACTGTAAAGGGCTGTTGATGATAATGATGATAATGATGACTAATAGTTGCGAAATAAATTAATTCATGATGAAATCAGAAGCATGTGCCTTCCTACCTAAATAAATAAATATGGAATTCATGGATAGGATCTCCTACTATCCTGTTATCAAATATTGTAGTTTGATTGTTGAATCACACTATTATCTATCATCCCAAAATATGAAATAAGACTTTCTAAGCCCATAAGCCATATCTGTCACTGAGATCAGATTCTGGGGTTATAATTTTATTTTGTTAAGGAATAAACCTGTTGTAAATCCTCATTTACACATTTGGATTATGTTAACATGTCAACAACAATGTACTTTTATAAAAAGGGTAACCTTTCATTGGCTATACTATCAGTCTAAATCTTATAACTAACATTTTCAATGTATCGCTGTTGGTTTCTATAAAATACTAGCTGACCCAACGAACTTTGTTCCACCTTAATGGCAATAAATAAGCAGACTTTTTTTTTTAATTTCGAACGGGATAAAAAGTATCCTATGTCCTTCTCCTGGCTGTAAACTACCTCCCTGACAATTTTCAGCTAAATCGGTTCAGCCGTTCTTGAGTTATAAGTGGAGTAACTAACACGACTTTCTTTTATATATATATAGATATAAATAAATGTCTGAATTTAGGTTGGCTTGATATGGAAGCTTTTGATTCTCAATAATTATTATTTACTAACATTTTTATTTTTTGAACATAAGTAGTGTCTCTACGGGAAAAACTTGACGTCAGTAATGTTATCATAATTTCCATACAAATATTGCAATGTCATTGCATACAATTAAATTACATACTAAATACAGGATTTTTAATCTTTTCAGAGAAAGAAAAAGGTTGAAAATGGCAAAACCCCAGGACTGGACCCGTTCTCCGACAACGATGATGATGTGGCAAGAGTCGCTAGGAAGTTTGAACAGAAATATGTAAGTACGATATTTTATTTATTTTTAATATGCAGGTCTACATTTAAATTCAGTAGTGATCCATAAACCAAACATTTACTACCGTTATTAAAATTTACATTCACTGATAATATGAAACTAGTGATGAGCTGTGTGTCATATTATGCCAAAAATTTGGACAACCATTATTATCATTATTATGTGCATTGTTTTGTAAATTTTATTTTAGTGACTGTCTTTAGACTTTAGCCTAGGCGCAGACCATCGATTTTTAGTTGGGTCGGACTATTGATCAGTATGGAGATGTATGAAAGTGCACACATTAGACCAATTTGGTATCGGCCGATTCTTCATACAAATTAGTATCGGGCCCGACTATCGGCCAACTAAAAGTTGGTGGTATGCGCCTAGGCTGAAGCTAAAGAAATGGAAGCCTTTATTCAGTAATCCTAATGCTGATAATAAAATACTATTAATATTATCCTGTGCTTTTAGGGCGGTAAAAGCACGTATGGCCGAACTGGCCGTTCCAAACACGACGACTTTGCCGACATCGGAGCGGGTTACGACGAGAATGACTCGTTTATCGACAACACGCATGGGGTAAGCACCTTTTATTTTAATTACTCGTTTAATCCTGAAGCGTATTTTGAAGCATTTGATTTGTAGAACGGTACGAATTGCTAAAGTTTGAATACGAAGTGGGAGCCGAATGCTTCAAAATACGTTTGTTCTTGGTGTTAGCTTTAATCGAGTCAGGATACGCATCTGACGTTTAGGTAGATCAATCGAACCAATGCTTATCCAGCTCCCGAAAGCATGAAATCAATTTTCTAATAACTAAGACCGGAGACTTATTTGCACCAAAATTCCAATTACATCATTTTTCAAAATCATAACAAAATAACTTAGAATCTAGCTCTTCACTCGGTCAGCTACTAAGCTATATCCTTAATCTGAAGGAAATCGCTGGTATTTAACTTACAAAAACACCCTCCCTGACCTAGAATAAGTATATTAGAAAAGTCCATTAGCAATCTCTTAAATACCATTTTTAACATCGTATCTTATTTTCCAGTACGATGAGATGATCCCTCCAGAATGTGATACGCTATACGGGGGTTTCTACATCAACTGCGGCTCGCTGGAGTTCAAGACTGTTGAGAACCAAGTGGCCAACCATTCGGACGGAGAACCTGGGAACAGGAGGAATAAGGTATGCACCATCAGGCCATTTAGTATCCAATAGCATTCGTCATCATGTCATTTATCTTATCTTGTGCAGTAGGCCTAGGATGCGCCGCGATAAGCGTTTATCAAGCCATTTTATCGATTTTACGTGATAAACCCATATATTTGTCGTCTAAAATCATCGATAAGATTTTATCACGGCACGCATCCTAGTCCGGCAGGGCCACGCATAAGCGTAGTGCACGTCGACCCATTGGGATCTTTTGTGCGTCATTTAGTTTCCAATGCCATTAATCATTAGCCGGGACCCGATGCGCGCCATGATAAAATGGACACTAACCATTTTAGAAGACAAATGTATGGGCTTATCTTGAAAAATCTATAAATGCATCGATAAAAGTTTATCGCGGTGCACATCATAGGCCTACATGCCAAATAGTTTCCACTGTAACCCTCTAATTTACCAGAGCTAATGGAGGATTTGGCATACACTTTCACCGCTGGCCAGACGGGTTGGGGAGGTCTGAGGTCGCCTTTTAAGATATCCAGGGGAAGATTGGGAGTAGTCTTATTCTACTCTGCCAATCATTCTGTATTAACAATCAAATCATATTTTTATTACAGGCTTTTTTGCCCTTTATAATCCAAATAATGGTTCCCAGTTTAATATACCATGTGAACACTACAAAAAATCTTCCATATTAACAGGCTGTCGGACAAGTTATAAAATCCATTAAAGTATGTTAACAGCATCATGAAATATTCATTTGTACCTAGCGCAAGTAGAGTTAATCACACTGCTGGTTTAAGTAATATTGGGACATGTAATTATATTGTGGTTTTTGTGAGTCTGTGTATTGCATAAATTAGTCCGAACTAGCTTTTGCCCGTGACTTTGCCTGTGTGGATTTCTGTCCCATGTCACAATTTGTGATAAAAAGACGGTATTTTTTTAAAAATATACTTTCATGAAAGACATTACAACAATGATTTCGAAACCGACTTTCGAGATTGAACTTTAAATGGGAATGGGAAGAACTGATAATTTATTATGAAGCAAATGCTACTCATAAATATCTATAGTTGATTGAATTTTTCTATTACTTACGACAAAAATATCGTCATCATCATTATCATTTTACCACAGGACACTCATCACATTTTATCATCATGACATCATTTTACCACTGCTGAACATAGGTAAAGCCTGGTCTGTGAGCACGTAGAATCCCGTCCAATGACCCCAAGCTACCCATCCCTATCGCTCGCGCGTAATTATGTTGCTGTCGCGACTGTGCGACGGGCGCCCGCAGTGAGTGTGCAAGCGCGACAGCAACATAATTACGCGCGAGCGATAGGGATGGGTAGCTTGGGGTCATTGGACGGGATTCTCCGTGCTCACGGACCAGGCTTTATCTCCTAATGATTTCCAGATTGGTTGCCTGTCTGCTATCTTAATTTACATTAATTTTATGTACTTTTGCCTACAGAGACGAATGATATCATCAAGCAGCAGTGAGCAGGACTCTTCCGAAAGTTCTTCGGAGTCAAGCCAAGACGTGAAGGACAAGCCCGTCGCGAATGGAGAGGTCAGCTCGCACAATACGGAGCATCGGAAGAAGGTATGATGATCTAGTTGCGGCCAAGTTACTTGGCTGATTGAAGCCAAGTGCCAAGTAATGAGCAGGACTCTTCCGAGAGCTCTTCGGAGTCGAGCCAAGACGTGAAAGACAAGCCCGTCGCGAATGGAGAGGTCAGCTCGCACAATACGGAGCATCGGAAGAAGGTATGATGATCTAGTTGCGGCCAAGTTACTTGGCTGATTGAAGCCAAGTGCCAAGTAATGAGCAGGACTCTTCCGAGAGCTCTTCGGAGTCGAGCCAAGACGTGAAGGACAAGCCCGTCGCGAATGGAGAGGTCAGCTCGCACAATACGGAGCATCGGAAGAAGGTATGATTGCATATTATTGACTGAGTTTTTCCTTAATGAGGGCTATCGTTTTAGCGCTCACCAGTTAGCGCCACTGTTGAGTAAGGTCCTGTCACTTGCTAGTAGCGAAGACAGTGGCACCAACTGGTGAGCGCGAAAGTGGTAGGAGGACTATCGCATTTGCCCTCATCAAGATGGCGCCACTGTAGAGTAAGGTCCTGTCAATCGCCAGGGGTGCCAACTGTTAAGTATAAAAACGATAGCCCTCATTCCTCACAGTACCTACTAGCCAATATATTGTCCTGAAGTAGTGGTAAGGCAAGCTAAATTAGGGACGTATAAGTGCACAGAGAACGGCCTACATACTAATAAAAAAAAATTCAAGGCGAACGATTTCAAGTCACGTTTCACTAACACAATTTTGTAAAATTGAAAATACTGAGGCTGATTTATAATACCTACTCATTTGTATTTACTCTGCTATCATTGATAGCAGAGTAAATACAAATGAGTAGGTCATCTTCATAGAAACGGACGGGCGCGGTTTGTATGTGAGCGCGCCAACACGTATGCGGCGTGCACGCACACACTGACTAAATTTAGCGTGGATTAGCGGGGAGCCAGTCGTGGTTGCGCCAAATTTTGTCAGTGTGTGCGTGCGCGCCGCATGCGTATTGGCGCGCGCTCACATACAAATCGCGCTCGGTGCGTTTCTATGAAAATGACCTACTCATTTGTATTTACTCTTGATAATAGTGACTGAGTTTTTTGTGCGGATTCCTCTCAGCACTGGCTCACATTATTGTCTCGGAGTAGTCAGTAGTCGCAATGCAAAATTATATTGGGATGTGTAAATAATGTGCTTTTTAAAAACGTTCTTACAGAAAATCAATGAATTTAGTGTCTTAGGCTGGTTTTAGAATTGCGCTAACCGCTCGCTGATCGTCGGCGCTGACAGATCAATATGTATGTAATTGAAGGGAACGTTCCTGTGTGACGCTGATCGCTCGGCGCCGACGCTTCAGTGTCTGCGTGACTCTAAAACCAGCCTTATTCGTTCGTTCGTCTCAGCCATATGACGTCCACTGCTGGACAAAAACCTCCACCAAGATTTTCCACAATGAATGGTCCTGCAGTGTCTTATTGCAAACCAATAATATTAATCGGTAATTACAGTCCATTACATGACTTATTTGTATTTCAAATAATTATGTTCAAGCAGCATGTACCTACGAGTTCATTATGTGATGTAATGTAATTGAGCTTGTAACTTGATACTTTACAGTTCAATGATATTAATAAATAGACCAAAGCAACACTAGTAGTTAGTTGCTAATTTACTGTAAAATATTACAAATACATCACTTATGTGTTTTGTTGCAGAAAAACAAAAATATTGATAAGAAGAAAGCCAAGAAAGTTCGAAGAACAGACTCCTCCGCAGCCAACTCTGGGAAACAGACGTCTGATGGTATGTTATTTTCGTTGTTAAAGCCCGGTCTGTGAGCACGTAGAATTCTGTCCAATGATCCCAAGCTACCCATCCTTATCGCTCGCGCGTAATGAGGGCTATCGTTTTTTGTTTCATCAGATGGCGCCACTGTAGCGTGAGGTTCTAAACTACGGCTGTCAGTGTCAAAGTTCGTATTACGAGCGCCAAAACTTGTATCTTCATTAGATTATTATAATTATTAGATCATATTTAATACCCTAGAACTAAAATGTAAACGTATTGGCCATGCCACAGTCTTGCGCAGTTCCGTTTTGCTCGGAAAAGAAAGGCGGACATAAGTTTCCGAAAGATAAAAGTATCTCAAAGCAGTGGTTGATAGCGATTCGCAGGGTCAACTACGTTCCTTCTAAACATTCACGTGTTTGTAAAAAGCATTTCAACTTTGACGATTATAAATTACCTAAAGAATCAAATACAGAAAATCGTAAGTACCTAATGATTTTTCTTATTCCTAAATATCACCATTTGATCTTCCCGAACCTTGAAACTGAGAAGTTTTTAAGTAAATACCTACTTTGATTTTTTGTTAAAACATTTCAGCTACTCCTAAACTGAAACCAAATGCGGTGCCTAGTCTGTTTTCCTGGAATCATGAAAGTGAAGAGAGAAAGGAGATGAAAAGAAAACGTGCCGAAAGAGCTTATCAACGTCAAAAGAAACGTGAAACTGCAACCCTTGCTTCAAATAAGAAAGAAAATAAATGTGATGAGCATTTTGTAAGTATACTGTATTTAACTGAAAGAAAACCTTTCTTACACATTTATCACAGCAGCTTTTGTCAACATAAACTGTGTATCTTGATAATAATAGTTCTTTATGGAGTATTTTATCTTGTTAGCTAATGATTTTTTTTATTTACTTACAGTTTTTTGAAGAAACAATTGAAGAAATAGACATTGAAAGTTCAAATAAAGATGTCTCAGTACAATGCTCTTTGTGCAAATGTGAAGAGAATTTAACTAATACTGCCAAGTTGTCAGAGCAGGGAAGTAATAGAAAAAGCACATCAAACATGTTTCGAATTGTAAATCATAAAGAGAAGCCTGATGTCATACAATTTTACACTGGTTTTGACAATTATAACCATTTTATGTTTGTCTTCAACCTTTTTGGTGATGAAGTAAACAATTTAAAGTACTATCCATCCCTGCAGCCAGGTCGAGGAAAACATGCATTGACACCACCAGATCAGTTTTATTTAACACTAATAAAATTGCGAAGAAATATGTGTAACAAAGAGTTATCTTTCCATTTTGAAGTAAGCAAAACTTCTGTTAGCAAATACTTTATAACATGGATTAATTACCTTTACTGTAAGTTCAAGGATCTTAATTTATGGGTACCGAAGGAAACAATTGATCAAAATGTAATGTATCAAAGGAAGATTAATAACTGTACAGTTATAATAGATTGCACAGAAACAAAAATTGAAAAATCACAGAACCCAATTTCACAACAAGCTACATATTCCAAATACAAATCAGCAAACACATTAAAAGTATTGGTAGGAATTTCTGGCTCTGGATGTGTGACCTTCGTTTCAGATGCATATGGTGGATCTATCAGTGACAGAGAGTTGTTCGAAAGGTGTGGAATAATAAATCTTCTTCAAAAAGGGGACATTATCCTAGGTGATCGTGGGTTTAATATTCAAGATCTTGTTTCACATATGGATGTTACAGTAAACATGCCACAGTTTTTGAAAAAGGGGTTTAATCAGTTTGAAGCACACCAACTCAGACAATCAAAGAAATTGTCATCTGAACGTATAAATGTCNATAGAATGTTGATTTCATTAAAAAAAAGTACTTAATTTAAATGGAAATAAAACTAATTTCGGAACTGCTGTTAATTTAATAATTTTTCGATGTGAAATTGCAAAACATGTGACGTCACACTAGGGAGGGGGGGGGGTCTCAGAAATGTGACCACCTGTGACAAGGACGGAGGGGGGGTTAAAAAATCATAAAATTCGTGTGACGTACTTTATGGATGGCCCCGTATAAATGTCGAGCGAGTCATAGGTTTAGGAAAAACATTCAAGATTCTGAGTAACAAATTGTCATGTAATTTAGTAGTACTACTTGGAGGAAGGATCATATTTGTGTGCTTTATGCTGGCTAATTTCAGGAAAAATATTATGTAAGTAAATAAAGATTTTGGACAGTTATAGGCACTTAAATAAAAGAAAAATTAATCAATCATCTTTTATTTATCCTTTCCGTACATAGACATTCCTATTATCTACTGAAATAATTAACTAAACATAAATTAATTATGTGTGTATTATGAATTTGGCAAAACATGAAAGGGGTGTACCTACTAAGTAACTTAACATCATACTTTACAAACTTATCTTTACATGAAATAGACATTTAAAACATAGTAGAAGAGTACATAGTTTCATGATACTATTTCAAGTTGTAACACTTTCTGGCTATCACAGGTATCATGTAATTATGATAAAAATCTGTAACTTTTGGAATAATAATTTCTGAAATAAGTTTATCATTTCTGTTTACATAGATTTTCTTTTCATCCTTATTTGTCCAAATAAAAAAATCACAATAACTCCTTTCAGTAACAAATAACTGTGTTTGGATTTGGAAATAATAAGGGCTGTTTTCTTTTAAACAAAATTCATCATTGATAATTTCTATATGCTTATAATTATCAGCACTGATAAACTCATCTTTTATTGAGAAAGGACATTTCACTTCTAATACAGTTAGATCTCCAATTAATCCATCAGGTGAAGCTCCAATATGTGGATATTTAGTGGAAATAAAAAATCCACAACTTTGTACTTTATTAAATGACATAGACTCATACGCTTCAATTGCTGTATTTTCTCTGGACTTTCCCCATTCTGTAGCTTCGCTTTTAAATTGTTTGGGAGACAAAATATCTTCAGCATATTTCACTTTGTTTCTTCTGTCCGTAAATTTGCATATATTGAAAACGTGAGACCCAGTTATCCTTAGACTTCGTTCATTATGCCAAATTTTATTTTGTGACTGTTCCCTTGTTTGCTGCTCTATCAAACGTGCTTCTTCTGGAGAAATCTGAAATATATTAACATAATTATAATAAATAAAAATACTTAATATTTTTTGGGACATCACAAACATATTCAACTGATCCCAAAATAGATAACACAAAGTTTAGGATACCATGGGAATATGTACAGAATGCAGACTTATACAACATACATTCACACATAACAAAAGCACAGAACAAATATGTTTGTTGTTGGTAAGTATTAAACCTTTGGCACCGAACCTATATGAAATGGAATAAAAAAATATGTCTCAGGAAACTATCTCACATAAAGCCAACTTGTCCCAAACTCAGCAAAGCTTGTAGTATGGATACAAGCCAACTGATAAACATACTTTTTTTTTCTGTAAATCCATACTTAATATAAATAGAAACACCCAGACAGTAAAAACAGACATGTTCATGCATACAAATTAGGATTGATATCATTGATATCATGAATAGGATTGAACCTGCAACCTTTGGTTCGGGGGATTCACTAACACCAAACTGGTTTGTATATCTATACTAATAATAAAGCTGAAGAGTTTGTTTGTTTGTACCAACGTGATGATCTCAAAATTATAACTCACAGTAATTCTATTCAGGATATATTGGTCCAGGATAGGTAGTTTAAGGTAATTATGGTCATTAGATATTCCATGCAAGGAAGCAACTTCAAAAACACCACATATACCAAAGCGTATTTTCTCTGAAGAACAATAGTTAATTACATTGTTCCTGACATGATCATACCATTGTATAGTGCTGCAAGTATTATCAGGACGTGGATCAAAACACATATTATTTCTTTTTGGTTTGGTGACATTATATTTTTGTATCTCAAATGTAAGATTTTCAGCTTTTTTGGGAGACAAGTTCATTTTCTTTTTTTTCGGCTCATGCCATATCTGTTTGTTTTCAGTGGGTGTTTTCTTAATACGCCATTCAGAATGCTCTTTAAATCGTAAAATTGCATAACATACACAAGCTATATGCTTACACACTGCTTTTGGTCCCATACCAGCTGCACACTCACACATGGATTGAACAATTTTTCCATCAGATTCAAAAGCAATGCTCATAAAATATGACAATGCTTTCGTGTTTTCAGAGTGGACTTGTCCCCTATAAAAATGCAAATTATTTTGTGTACATGTCACTAGAGCCACCAAATATTCATTTATCATCATATTATAGCCTTTTCTATGAACTGCAGCACACTCCGTCATACCCACATTGTCTTTGTAAACCTCTAAAAAGTAAGTAGAAATATTCACTATATCTAAGTCAGGTGATACACTTTTCGATGTTACGCTGATGTATGAACTTTCCGAAGGCCACTCAACAGTATACGCCAAATCGTCATTTTTTATTCCATCTGATATGTTTCCAACAAAATTATTATTTCTATCATAGTCTTGAAGCCTGTAAAAAGAAAAACACAGCTGTAATCTGGATAAACAAGCCAACTTTAGACAAGATATTTTATATTGTTTGTAAATATAAAAAAAAAAAAAACCTCTGAATTAGCTGTTCTTTCAGACCGTTTAATTTTGCACCTCTTTTTCTTAACTCCACTTTTAAAGCACTGACATTCATAGATCCGTAATCTGTATTTGCCATAATTAATCTAAAGTATTGTAAATACTCGCAATATTAATTTAATTAGAAATATAAAAGCGCGCGCGTAGCCAACTCATACACAAACAGTGACATTTGACGTTTCGAAAACCTCACGCTACACAAGCGCCTCTAGCGGCGATTTCATACGCGATAGCCCTCATTATATTGCTGTCGCGACTGTGAGACTGGCACCCGCAGTGAGTGTGCGAGCGCGACAGCAACATAATTACGCGCGAGCGATTAGGATGGGTAGCTTGGGGTCATTGGACAAAATTCTACGTGCTCACAGACCAGACTATACAAGTGTTTTATTGATAAAGGTCTTTACTACTAAAAGTGACATAAATGACTTTTCATCAAACTTATCAACGAACGTGTAGTCCAATATGTGCACAGTCTTTGCACAATTTGTTAAAAATAGTAGGTATAATATGCAAATCGTATTTGCAAAGAATCTGACTTCCAAAAAAATGTATAAAAATCTTGACAAACAGATGTTTGTGACACGTGACAGGTTTCTTATCGCACTTTACCTTTACTTTTCAAAAGAAAAGCGAGATCGCTAGTCAAGCTATAAACTAAAGGACAGTGGCTCATCGCCGCCATTGACGGATCTTCGTTATTTTATAGCGTACGCGCATGATTGCCGCGTAAGATGAAACCCAGGGCGGTCAGCGTAGCAGACCTAGCTTTTGTCCGCCCGCTTATCAGCTAAAGCCTTGTCCGTGAGCACGTAGAATGTTGCTGTCGCGCTCGCACACTCACTGCGAGCGCCCGTCGCACAGTCGCGACAGCAACATAATTACGCGCGAGCGATAGGGATGGGTAGCTTGGGGTCATTGGACGGGATTCTACGTGCTCACGGACCAGGCTTTAATAACGGAAAAAAATTATCTTTCTTTTCAATCAGTTTCAAAACATGCTCTATCCAACTGACATAAAACCTGTTTTTCTTAGACAACGCTCACGGAGACGGCGAGAGCGCGGACTCGCGTACGTCGCAGTCGGACTCGCTCACGTCCAAGCCCGCACCCTCCTCCGAGAACGCGGCCACTTCAGACAGCTCCAGGTAACACCCCATGATGTCTGACACCGACTGAACAAAGATTGCAGTCTCACGCCAGTGTATCAGACACAACTTGGAAATTGCGGCCACGTCAGACAGCTCCAGGTAACGATGTCTGACACCAACTGATTCGATACTGCGGTCTTACACCAATTGAGACGACACTTGCCTATGTCTGAAAACGCGGCCACTTCGGAGAACTCCAGGTAACGATGTCTGACACCGTCTGATTCGATACTGCGGTCCTCCGCTGGTGTGTCAGACACAGACTCGCGTACATCAGTCGGACTCGCTCACGTCGAAGCCCGCTCCTTCCTCTGAGAACGCNTATGATCAGAGTAAATACAAATGAGTAGGTCATCTTCATAGAAACGCCCGAGCGCGGTTTGTATGTGAGCGCGCCAAACGTATGCGGCGCGCGCGCACACAATGACAAAATTTAGCGTAGATTAGCGGGGAGTTGCGCCGAATTTTGTCAGTGTGTGCGTGCGCGCCGCATACGTATTGGCGCGCGCTCACATACAAACCGCGCTCGGTGCGTTTCTATGAAGATGACCTACTCATTTGTATTTATTTACTCTGGTATGATGATCTAATTACGGTTAAGTTCCTTAGCTAATTGAGGCTAAGTGCCAAGTAATGAACAGGACTCTTCCGAGAATTCTTCAAACGTGAAGGACAAACCCGTCGCGAACGTGAGGTCAGCTCGCACAATACGGAGCATCGGAAGAAGGTATGATGATCTAGTTGCACCCAAGTTACTTGGCTGACTAAGGCCAAGTGCAGTGCCAAGTAATGAGCAGGACTCTTCCGAAAGTTCTTCGGAGTCGAGCCAAGACGTGAAGGATAAACCGGTCGCGAATGGAGAAGTCAGCTCGCACAATACGGAGCATCGGAAGAAGGTATGATTGCATATTATTGACTGAGTTTTTCCTTAATGAGGGCTATCGTTTTAGCGCTCACCAGTTAGGGCCACTGTAGAGTAAGGTCCTGTCACTTGCTAGTAGCGAAGACAGTGGCACCAACTGGTGAGCGCGAAAGTGGTAGGAGGACTATCGCATTTGCACTCATCAAGATGGCCAACTGTTAAGTATAAAAACGATAGCCCTCATTCCTCACAGTACCTACTAGCCAATATATTGTCCTGAAGTAGTGGTAAGGCAAGCTAAATTAGGGACGTATAAGTGCACAGAGAACGGCCTACATACTAATTAAAAAAAAATTCAAGGCGAACGTTTTCAAGTCACGTTTCACTAACACAATTTTGTAAAATAGAAAATACTGAGGCTGATAATGATAGCAGAGTAAATACAAATGAGTAGGTCATCTTCATAGAAACGGACGGGCGCGGTTTGTATGTGAGCGCGCCAACACGTATGCGGCGCGCACGCACACACTGACAAAATTTAGCGGGGATTAACGGGGAGCCAGTCGTGGTTGCGCCGAATTTTGTCAGTGTGTGCGTGCGCGCCGCATGCGTATTGGCGCGCGCTCACATACAAATCGCGCTCGGTGCGTTTCTATGAAGATGACCTACTCATTTGTATTTACTCTGATAATAGTGACTGAGTTTTTTGTGCGGATTCCTCTCAGCACTGGCTCACATTATTGTCTCGGAATAGTCAGTAAATAGTCGCAATGCAAAATTATATTGGGATGTGTAAATAATGTGCTTTTTAAAAACGTTCTTACAGAAAATCAATGAATTTAGTGTCTTAGGCTGGTTTAAGAATCGCACTAACCGCTCGCTGATCGTCAGCGTGCGTCAGTGTGACTCTAAAACTAGCCTTATTCGTTCGTTCGTTCGTCTCAGCCAAATGACGTCCACTGCTGGACAGAGGCCTCCCCGAAGATTTTCCACAGTGAACGGTCCTGCAGTGTCTTATAGAGGATGCTGCGCCAACGTTTCTAACGTCTCTTCTGAAGCTGTCCTCATACTGGCCGCCGGTGGCTCGCGCGAACAATCGCACGAACGAACGAATAATATCAATTGGTAATTAGACCCCGTTACATGACTTATTTGTATTTCAAATAATTATGTTCAAGCAGCATCTACCTACGAGTTCATTATGTGATGTAATTTAATTGAGCTTGTAACTTGATACTTTACCGTTCAATGATATTAATAAATAGACTAAGGCAACACTAGTAGTTGGTTGCTAATTTACTGTTAAATATTACAAATAGATCACTTATGTGTTTTGTTGCAGAAAAACAAAAATATTGATAAGAAGAAAGCCAAGAAAGTCCGAAGAACAGACTCCTCTGCAGCCAACTCTGGGAAACAGACGTCTGATGGTATGTTATTTTCGTTGTTAAAGCCCGGTCTGTGAGCACGTAGAATTTTACGATGAACGCACGTAGCGTTCACACACTTACTGCGGGCGCCCGTCGCACAGTCGCGACAGCAACATAATTACGCGCGAGCGATTAGGATGGGTAGCTTGGGGTCATTGGACAAAATTCTACGTGCTCACAGACCAGACTATACAAGTGTTTTATTGATAAAAGTCTTTACTACTAAAAGTGACATAAATGACTTTTCATCAAACTTATCAACGAATGTGTAGTCCAATATGTGCACAGTCTTGGCACAATTTGTTAAAAATAGTAGGTATAATATGCAAATCGTATTTGCAAAGAATCTGACTTCCAAAAAAATGTATAAAAATCTTGACAAACAGATGTTTGTGACACGTGACAGGTTTCTTATCGCGCTTTACCTTTACTTTTCAAAAGAAAAGCGAGATCGCTAGCCAAGCTACAAACTAAAGGACAATGGCTCATCGCTGCCATTGACGTATCTTCGTTCTTTTATAGCGTACGCGCATGATTGCCGCGTAAGATGAAACCCAGAGCGGTCAGCGTATCAGACCTAGCTTTTGTCCGCCCGCTTATCAGCTAAAGCCTGGTCTGTGAGCACGTAGAATGTTGCTGTCGCGCTCGCACACTCACTGCGAGCGCCCGTCGCACAGTCGCGACAGCAACATAATTACGCGCGAGCGATAGGGATGGGTAGCTTGGGGTCATTGGACGGCATTCTACGTGCTCACGGACCAGGCTTTAATAACGGCAAAAAATTATCTTTCTTTTCAATCAGTTTCAAAACATGCTCTATCCAACTGACATAAAACCTGTTTTGCCCAGACAACGCTCACGGAGACGGCGAGAGCGCGGACTCGCGCACGTCGCAGTCGGACTCGCTCACGTCCAAGCCCGCGCCTTCCTCCGAGAACGCGGCCACTTCAGACAGCTCCAGGTAACGATGACTCACATTGACATCCAAATAAACAGCGCTTCAGACAGCTCTATAGTCCGATTTTTAATTCGACGGAATTCTGACAGCTGTCATTTTTCGACAATTCAGATGTAATAAGCCTTTTTTGCTTTGAATTTGAATTATAATATGAAATGAAATTTTATCAAGTACAACTTACAAGGATGAACTATTGTTTGTTTTGTGAATTCAATGTACACTAATTATATTATGTACATTTTAGAGATTAAATAGAATAAAACGTGTTTTTAACACAGTAAAACAACATATTATCACAAACGAAAATATGTATTGATCATCAAATCATCATTATCGTCATCATAATCAACTTGGATTATAAAATTAGCATCTTGTTAAATTGATTATTTTATGAAGCTAAGATTTTATTAACAAAAGGATTTTCATAAAAAAGGTTTGTAACCCATGGATTATTGGTCAGGGAGTCCAGTAATAGAAAAATAATTTCCCAGTTTTTTTTGTAACTTCTAAAATATGATAATAAAAATTTAAAAAACCATTTTGAAATGATCAATACATTTTTAAGCCTTAGTTTTTCAAGTGAAACCTTAAATTCATGAAAGGATTATTTTTTTAATTTGTGAAAATGCTCTCCATTCTTAGTGGGAATGGTTCAAAGTTGGCAACACTTCTGAAATGTCAAAATTCCGTCGAATTAAAAATCAGAGTTTAGGTAATCGGTTTTACATCAATTGAGTCGATACAGGCACAAGTCTGAAAACGTGGCCACTTCAGACGCTCCAGGTAATCCCTTTTGATGGAGATTGTGGCCTCTTGTCACATGCTACGTGCAGATCACACCAGGCCTCAAGTCAGAATCCAGATGAATGTCAGCATCTCGTACAGGTCCAGGTAACGATGTCTGATATCGACTGATTCGGTACTGCGGTCTTCCGCCAGTGTGTCAGACACAGCTCTGAAAACGCAGCAACTTCAGACAGGGGAGGGTCACCTGGCCCCTTGGTATTTTGAGATTGTGATCTCTAGATCATATGCCGCAGTCAGAATCCAGATGAACGTCAGCACTTGGGACAGGTCCAGATATGTCTGACACCAACTGACTCGATACTGTGATCTCCTTATTTCACCAGTACGTCAGATACAGCTCTGAAAACGCGGCCACTTCAGACAGCTCCAGGTAACTGATTTCTGACATCGACTAATTCCGGTCAAGAATTTTGCCTCCTGCGACTCACTAGATGTACAGACTACGCCTGACGGATAATGTATCTAATCATCTTTCTATTGGACAATCTAGTAATGAAAGAAACATCAATATGAAACTTGTATCCAACAAAATACAGTGTGAGTCACGTTAAAGTGTACATATGAAAATAGATTAAACTAGACCTATTTTGTCTTTGTCCAGCAGTGGACGTCATTTGGCTGAAACGAAGAAGAAGAAGAAGACCTATTTTTATCGACAAAAAAGAGGTCAAAAAATTTTTGAGAATTTTTTTAAATTTTTTATAGATTTATTACTTATTGTAAAGAAAACGTAATAACTTTTAACCTAAGCGGTATATCCTGATAAAATAAAAACAACAATAATAATAATAACGATCATAGCAAATGTTGTGATAGGGATAGAGACATGCGATTTTTGGTTTTACAAAGATAATACGATAGAGAATAATACAAAGTAATAAAAACTACCTGTTAAAGGCGCATTTTTTGGAGAAATTTATCAAATAACCAAAAAAACACGAATTTAAAAGCAGATTTTTTTCAAAAAGTCTCATTTTTTATTATTTGTTGGTATTTTTGTGTATTTTATGTATTTTTTTAGTATCGCCTGTTATTTAGCATTATTACTGTTTTTATTTTATCAGGATATGCCGCTTAGTTTAAAAGTTATTACGTTTTCTTTACAATAAGTAGTTGAAAGAAAAAAAAATCTATAAAAAAATTAAAAAAAATCTCAAAAAAATTTTAACCTCTTTTTTGTCGATAAAAATAGGTCTAGTTTTATCTATTTTCATATGTACACTTAAACGTGACTCACACTGTATTTATACATTCTCACCTTTATAACTTCTTCACAGGGATGCCGAGAAAGTGGAAGTGAAACTCCCCCCATCAGTGGTCCAAGTGTTGGAAGACTTGGAGGCGGTGGTGAACCGGAATTTCGTGGAGACGCCCAACCTCGCCGCCAAGGAACTCGAGGCCAAGACTGATCAGTATCTCATCAGGTGAGTTGCATACTGAATTCATATTCAAATTAAACTTTTAATTCAAATAAGACTTTCAAGAAGAGAGCGTATCTTCATCTTAAAGGCCGGCAACGCACCTGTAACGCCCCTGGAACTGCGGATGTCTATGGGCGACGGTAATCACTTACAATCAGGTGATCTGTCAGCTCGTTTGCCTCCTGTCACGGATGTCAGTCTGTCACACAAAAAATACAAATGACATAGGCCGAAAAATAAAAGTTTTACTTTTCAGCACATTCTAAGGTGGTATAATTTTACCACAACAATCCGGGACTGCTATGATTGGAGTAAATAAACTGATATCGACGTAAACCAATTAAAATGGCAAAGGAATTTCGAGGAAAATCGCGTAAATTATTTTTTAATTCTTTGTTTGTTTACCCACGCTTACCATCACCAGTAGGCCTAAGATGCGCACCGTGACAAGCGCTGTATCGATAACGATTATACACGATAAGCCCATACGTTTATCGTCTAAAGAAAATCATCGATAAGATTTTATACCGGTGCGGTTTAACCTAATTAGATTTTATGTTTTACCATTTTACTGTTCTCTGAAAACCTATAAACCTTAACCGATTGTATGAAAGAAATCATTCCTACGGTCACACAATCCTTCAATTCAAGGTTAAACGACTATTGTAGTTTAAAATTGAACCAAATCACAACTCGCTCCTATCAGTCCCCTCCTTTGACTTTGTTAAAAATAGCCCAGAAATAAATCAAGTACATATTGAGAGTGCTCCAGTTTATTGCATAAATAAATAATACATTGCAAACTTCAGACTGATGCGTATTCGACTGTGTTGTATTCGGCTCGCAATGCATTATGTATTGCTATATACTGTCGCGTCGAGTAAATACAGACGACAACACAGCAAGCTAAACAGAGCTCTTATGTAGTATGTAATAGGAGTGATTTTGCTACAAAATGAATAGTCTGTTGTCGGTATATTCTTAGTCCGACCGGGCGACACCAACCGGTTTTCTACTCGGCGCCCGCGCCTCTTTCTTGTTATCTTATTGTGTCTGCAGTATGTTTTGCACTTGGGACGGTGCGGCAATGTTTATAATCTGCATTTAAAGCATTTTTCGTCTTTATTGTTTTCTAAAATTGGTACAGAGTGAAGTTTTACGTGGATTTCGATGAAAATATCATTACTAATAGTTTTTGGTATCTTTAATTGGATTCGTATTGAAGCCGGCTTCTACCTATTGCATAAATTCGTATACCTATTTGTATTACAACTGCGGTGTATTGATGTTTTGTAACTAAACTGTTTTGTTGTGAAGAAGACACAATTTTATACATTGGTGTTTCTAAATATGAATATCCACAAGATGTCTATGCGTCCAAGGTGATTGTTTTGTGATATTGGATCAAACTTGCTCATTACTTGATATTAAAGGCATAAGTAGACAGTGATATGTCTTTTGGCTTAAATCAATTCTAAGTATTTACATATGTAACTTGTTTTATGTGCGCGTTACAAATGCCTAGATTTTTTGTCGCCGCTTGTCTGGAATCTAGATCATCGAAAATAGTCGCACATATTTATTGTTTAATGTTAGACCAGTAGGTCTATTTTATTACTTATTTTATATTCATAAATCTACTTATTTTAAGAGATTTGATGAACAGAACAATTTTTTGTTGTTGTATTTTTTCAGTATAGACATACAAAAAACACATACCTATAAATTAACAAAAATGTTTTTGCCTCGCAATGTTTGTATTTTGCGCTTAATTGTATGACAATTGAACTCGCGACCTCTACCAATTTTTTTTTATTAAATCTCCCGTCCAGTATAGATTATTAAGACCTGTGGCTTACAGTTACTTACTAACATTAATTTTAAACTGACTTGAAAAGAGCAAGATAACTTATTTGTATGTAATGTAATTATATCTGCAAAATATCATAATCTCGTGCGTAAACTAATATCCAAAATGTCCTTTTCAGGTTAGAACGCGTGTTGTCCAAGAACGGAGTCGATCCCGCGTCCACCAAAGCGGCTTGGACGCGCGCGGCGCGGTGTCTGGGCTCCACTCGATCGAAACTCCACCAGCGAGTCAAGTCGCGGCCGGAGAACCACGTCACGACTGAACCGCGTGAGTTAATGATGACGATGGTACTTTGTTGGGACTAGTTATAGGGCGGCGCGGTGTCTGGGCTTAACTAGAGCCAAGCTACTGCAGCGTGTCATGTCGCGGCACGACTGAACCGCGTGAGTTGATGATGATGATGATAATGGTACTTTGTAGGGACTAGTTATAGGGCGGCGTAGTGTCTGGGCTCGACTCGGTCGAAACTGCTGCAGCGAGTCAAGTCGCGGCCGGAGAACCACGTCACGCCTGAACCGCGTGAGTTGATAATCTTCTTCTTGTCATGTCGACAACAAACCTACACAGTGTCAACCCAAAACTCCGCTACAAGAGTGGCGTTGTCAGCAACATTCATTGAATTCTGCGTGCAGTTGCTCGGGCACTCAGGGCACGACATCATGTGCTTCATCGACTGTGAAACAAAACCGAACCTGCACTCCCTGTTTGAGCCATCCAAGAATCCCCACCTGACCAGATTGTCGTTACTACGGCCGACCTGCGTCCGAAGTCTATTTAAAGACTTCCAGGTAAGCCAGGGGAGCTCATGACCAGGTGGAGAACTCATGGTGATGATGATGGTACTTTGAAGGGACTAGCTATAGGATGGCGCGGTGTCTGGGCTCGGATCGGTCGAAACTGCTGCAGCGAGTCAAGTCGCGCGTCAACGAACCACGAACGACTGAACCGCGTGAGTTGATGATCAAGTGATCATCATCATCATCAAGTGATGATAATGATTGTGATAGTGATGAACCTTTGTTGGGACTTGTTCTGGATTATGCTTTAGGCCCGGTTTCCACCAAGGTGGATTGGAGAAGTGTTTTGGATAACCAATCAAATTTTTTTATTCAGGAAACCAGGAAATCTGCTTTTGTGGAAACTGGGCCTTATGAAACTTCCTTTGTTGTGTTTTTATTTATTTATTTCAAACTTATATGCACATAGAGCAGTGTACACTGTCTGTACATAAGGCGGACTTTTTGTAGGATTTGAATCGAAAGCTCTACCCGACTGCGCCAGAAGAAGGGTATTGTTTTTATGTTTACTACTCATGAATATTGAAGGAAAATCAGCAATAAGTAACAGCATATTCTTTGTAGTTCACTAATCTGACGCTTAATCCGAAACATTTAAGGTTGATAATATTAAAAAGAGTCTTCTTTTATACAGCACCGCCAGCGCCCGCCGCCGCCCAGTCAGCCGCCAGCAAGCGTAAGGCTGACGATGACGATGATGAAGACTTCAGCCGCCTCACCGCCGCCGAGAGGGAAGCCAAGATTGTGGAGACACTGCAAAGGTAGCCTAAAAAAACATAGAATAAACATACGTTTTTAAGCTACAAATACTTCGTTTCGAAAACATTTTAAATGGGTAAAGAGAGTGAGACTCAAATAAAAGTTGTTCGAAATTTTCAATCTAGATAGATAGATATACGGTTTATTTGCAAAACACATTGACATACAAGAAGAAAAAAGTAAGAATAATAAACACAGGATTTGCAGGAAAGATATATATAATAGTAAAGATATATAATAGTACATGACAAAGAGTAAAAAAGAAAATCCTGCTCTAAGGTATAAGTGTGCCGCAACGATGCAAAAAAGCAGAGAGCTCAGTGTAGACACTGCTCTAAAAGTGAGCAGAACACTGATTTTCAGCTCTTGCTTGAAAATACAAGTTAAACTATGGTTTCAAAATTGTAACTTTTTGACTTTAACTTTTATCTGAGTGTGACCATTGTGCGAATGGCGCGGTCTGCGTCGAACCCTTACAAAATAAATCAATCAGTGTTATGGAATGGACTCTGTTGGGCACTAAACATGTTGTATTAAAATTTTTCAGGTTAAAATTGTTAATAGAAGAACGCAAACCAGACATGATTTCAAATTACAACGCCGAATGTGCACGGGTCCAGGAAGAGAAGTAAGTTTTTTTGTTTCATGATTTTAACGGTATTTTTTTTTCAAGTAAATAGGTAGTGTTATCACAATTATGATTTCAAAGCTAAAAGTTAGCAAACGACGAACGCTTTGAAGTCATAGCAAAGGCAGACATATAAACTCCGTATCGCCTTTTGCGAGCTGTCATCACCTTTCGCGAGGCGTTTACGTTATGTTGCGGATAAGTGTGCGTTGAAGTATGGAGTTTCATACAAAGAATATTGACCGCCTTGAGTTGATACAGTTACGATGCCTTTCCGGGTTGATAAATTAATGTGCTACAGCCTCTACCATTTGTGTCTATTGTATTTCCAGGAAGAAACTCCCAAGTAACATCAGCGGTCGAGGGCGCGCCTACTCCGTACCGTAGAAAAGCCTCTGTCCAAGCGCAATTTCTTGATTATTTATGTCTACTACCCTTTTGTATCTCCCTTCTATGACGTCAACAGAAAGAGAAAAGGTCCCCCTCTCGTAGAAAAACGTCTGCCCAAGTATAGGATTATGATTAGTGATGTCAACTACTTAATTTGTGTTTGTCGTAATTCCAGGAAGAAACTCCAAGTGGCTTCAGCGGTCGAGGGCGCGCCCGTCGTAGAAAAGCGTCTGCCCAAGCGCAGGTTTCCGTGGTGCCCGCGGTCGCGCGCGCTACTGGTCCGGCTGAAGCGGCTGGCCGGCTCACACGAAGCGGCCGCTACGTTGCTGGCCAAGCGGGCGCTGCCGCTGTTCCCCAACGGATTCGTGCGGATGCCCACGCTCCTGCGACAGGCCGAGTGAGTCCCACGCCCACACTGGGCTCCCAAGCCCACGCTAGGCTCCCAAACCCACCCCAAGCCTACGCTAGGCTCCCACGCCCATACCAAGCCCACGCTAGGCTCCCAAGCCCACGCTAGGCTCCCAAGCCCACGCTAGGCTCCCACGCTCACCCCTCATGTCTACACTAGGCTCACACGAAGCGGCCGCTACGTTGCTGGCCAAGCGGGCGCTGCCGCTGTTCCCCAACGGATTCGTGCGCATGCCCACGCTCCTGCGACAGGCCGAGTGAGTCCCACGCCCACACTAGGCTCCTAAGCCCACCCCTCACGCCCACACCAGGCTCCCACGCCCACGCTAGGCTCCCACGCCCACGCTAGGCTCCCACGCCCACGCTAGGCTCCCACGCCCACCCCTCATGCCCACACTAGGCTCCCATTAAGCTGCTGCCACGCTGTTGGCCAAGCTAGCGCTGCCACTGTTCCCCAACGGATTCGTGCGCATGCCCACGCTCCTACGCCAGGCCGAGTGAGTCCCACGCCCACACCATGCCCACACTAGGCTTACACGAAGCGGCCGCTACGTTGCTGGCCAAGCGGGCGCTGCCGCTGTTCCCCAACGGATTCGTGCGCATGCCCACGCTCCTGCGACAGGCCGAGTGAGTCCCACGCCCACACTAGGCTCCCACGAGGCTGCCGCTGTTCCCCAACGGATTCGTGCGCATGCCCACGCTCCTGCGACAGGCCGAGTGAGTCCCACGCCCACACTAGGCTCCCACGAGGCTGCCGCTGTTCCCCAACGGATTCGTGCGCATGCCCACGCTCCTGCGACAGGCCGAGTGAGTCCCACGCCCACACTAGGCTCCCACGAGGCTGCCGCTGTTCCCCAACGGATTCGTGCGCATGCCCACGCTCCTGCGACAGGCCGAGTGAGTCCCACGCCCACCCCTCATGCCCAAACTAGCCTCAGGCTCCCGACTCGCACCAGGCGATAACCTCCTAAGTTATTTAAGTGATGGCATCAATGTGCCATAACAAACGCGGTGAACATGACGATCATGCTGCGTGCGCGCAACGATCTCGTGTTGATGTCACATGCCGGTCAAACCGCGATTTTGAAAAGATCTCAGTAATTTATTCCCGTGAGTAAATGTTGCTAAAGCTGGACCCAGTATTTGAGCAACTTCTTCTTTTAACTGTGTTTTGTATTGTTGACTATAGTCTGGTCTGTGAGCACGTAGAATTTTATCCAATGACCCCAAGCTACCCATCCTTATCGCTCGCGCGTAATTATGTTGCTGTCGCGCTCGCACACTCACTGCGGGCGCCAGTCGCACAGTCGCGACAGCAATATAATTACGCGCGAGCGATAAGGATGCGTAGCTTGGGGTCATTGGACAAAATTCTACGTGCTCACAGACCGGGCTTTAGATGCTTTTGATAGAAGTCGTATAAATTGTCTAAAACGTTTTCTTCATCTTTCCAGCCTCAGCAAAGACATCAAAGCGTCGGACGTGAAGCGTCAGCGGCTCGGATCCGCATCGCAGCCGGCGCCGCCCGCGCCGCCTGCCTTCGTCGAGCCCATCCACTTTCCCAGCTCGCTGACCGTCACAACCACCACCAATCCGCCTGCCCCTGCCGCCCCTGCCAAGGAAGAAGACAAGTACAAACCCAACTCGGTCCTCGGAACGTTCTTCAACCTCAACAAAGACCTCATCGTCGAAAGGCCCGAAGACCGAAAGAACGACCGGGTCAAAGATGACGTCTACGTCCCCCCCAATAATATCGGCAGCATAACCATAACACCCGTCATCCCAGCGCAGAAGGACAAAAAACCGGTTGTGCCGGACAAACCCAAGGAAGGCTTGATCAGGGTGAAGTCCCCGGCGGCGCTAAACGAAATGGTGAAAAAGGAGAAAGCTAAGAAACCAGAGAAAACCAACCATGTAAAAGAAAAACGAATGGACACCCCGTTACACATAGACACTAATCTCCAGCCGAGCAAAAAAGACCCAAGCCCGAAAAAAGATGAGATCTCCCCAAAACAAATAGAAACCATGAGAATAACGGAGAATAATATCCCGAGGCCTGCCTTAGTTCCCGTACGCCATTCCCCCACTTTCGCGAAACCGGACAAACGTCCGCCCGAAGTGAAAAAGAAAAAAGACGTTGTCATAGTGTCCGATGTAGACCCACTGGGTGACGTGCAAGCCGAGCCCTTCGCGGTGGACGATAGTAGTAGTGACGTGGAATTAGTTGAGGACTCAAAAAATACGGACAAAAGTGAACCTAAAATCGGTGATAATAAGAGTGATACAGTGCCTTCAAAGGATAAAGTGAGTGACTCGAAGAAAGTGAACAGTGTTAAACATAAAGAGCGCAGCTCGAAGGAGACGAAGGAGAAACGTAGCGACTCCTTGGACGAGACCACCAAGGAGATCGATAATGTTATGAGGGAAATACGGGAAATGCAGGTTCGTAGTGTTTTCATACTATTTTTTTACCTACAATTTATATTCAAAGTTCAAGTGACTGTTTCACTGACAATTTTTTTTTGCACTATGACACTGTTGCTACAATATCTGTGTCAATGTGTTAACCATGTTAAAATGTATGAACTGTATGTAAGTTTGTTTGTGTACCTAATAAATAAGTAAATCCCCAGGATCTACATACTCATAATATTATATCTGTGAGATATCACCAGAATAGTCTTAGGAGAGGAAATGTTACAACAATTTAAATTCTATCTCTCTATGGATTCGCAAAATAGTTCAGTTAAATAAGTTATGTTTATTATGGAGAAGCCATATAAACACCATTTGACTTCCATCCAATATATTTTGTTAAAAAATATTTTTATATTTTCAAACAAAATAGTATGAAACTATTCTTCAAGTCTCCAAAAACTCAACAAATGCACATTTTTCCGATTCCAGAACTCACAAGAACCAACAAAGTTGAACAGTAACTCGTACGCAGGAGTCATTACTAGTGGTAAGTGTCACTAAAGTACACATAATAATTATTATTATTATGGGCGATACGTGTGCGCTTTCGTCTTTATACTTCGACATTAATCTATGCGTTTAATTTTGGTGTTGTTTTAGATTAAACTAATCGAATGTTTATCGAATCGCCTCATTGTTAAACATGACAGCTTTCTTACAACCACCAAAAGAATCATAAAATTATATCATCAAAATTAAAACCCGTTTTATTGTTAAACAAGAGGGTTGAAAAGGGCACATGAGATCTATTGTGTAAATACTCTAAATTACTCAGCAACCTGTATCTATAATTTAGTATTGAGTACTATACTAGCCATATAAAACATGTGATGTAAGATGAAAGCGCACATAGCAACTACAGTCTGTTCTAGTCCAATTAGAATAGAAACAAGCTTTATCGTTCTAGAAACATTAAACCTAACCCCCCCTTATTATAAAACGTGAAACTCGCGTTGATCACTAGTTTAAATTGAGATATTTTGTTCATTGCGCGTTTAACCTTTTTTAAAAGCACAACTATCTTTTCACTTCAATCCCAGTAACTTTAACATTGTAAAGCCTGGTCCGTGAGCACGTAGAATCCTGTCCAATGACCCCACGCTACCCATCCCTATCGCTCGCGCGTAATTATGTTGCTGTCGCGACTGTGCGACGGGCGCCCGCAGTGAGTGTGCGAGCGCGACAGCAACATAATTACGCGCGAGCGATAGGGATGGGTAGCTTGGGGTCATTGGACGGGATTCTACGTGCTCACGGACCAGGCTTTAGTATCATTTGCAAAAACGCGGCCTAGAACAGACCACGCCCATAAAATTTCTCATTGCGAATTGGACCTAAACGCCTGAGACGTAAAGTTGGTTTTGTCCGGCCAGCGAGGCACGAGAAGTCTTCCAATCCGCCGCCGTTCGCGCCGCGCTCCAGTATATTTGGCGAGGCGCGTTCTGACAAAGACAAGTTGTAAGTGACGCGGACGCCAGATGTTGAGAACCTTTTCTAAATGTTACGTTTGTTTGCAACTTGTCGGTAAAAATACCAAATTAAGCGGTGCAAGAGTAAATTATGACGAAAATATTTTTGATGTTCACGATTTAGGGTATTATTAAAAATTTATTTTATGATGTAGTCAACATTTTCGGGTTCTCTATTGAGACTTATTAACATTCAAATTCTTCATGGTTTTAGGTGTATTCATGCTATAGCATAATAATAGGAACGACATTTTAATGGGTAAATTCAATATCTAGAGTAACTCATAAATTTTTTTCTAAGCGTTTTGTGTACCTCTGAAATCGTGCTTCCGTCAAATTTGAGTTACTTTCCTAGGCCATAAAGCTGATTATTACGTGATTTATGACTCATCCAGCCAAATCAGAACCAGTTCAGCTTTTTATACTGACCTAAAAGTTGACAAACGACGTTTTGCTTAGGTCCAGCTTTCCAATTTTGAATCATGGCAGCCCTAGGTCACGGTAAGACATAGCGTAGCATGAATATACCTCAACGGGAATTAAAAAAAGCACTTAGTACTTTCTATCTTCTGTAAATTCAATTTTCTGCTACTGGTGGGGTCTTGCACGATACAAAAAAGCTTTATTAGTAGATGAGATAATATGTTTATCTATTGAACATATTAATTGCTTAATGAAGCAACACCAAATGTTAACCGATAGAAAAGGTCCGACTCTGTAAGCTTGCCTCGCACTCTCCTATCCGTCGCTTGCCACTAGTCTCTTGTAGATATGCTTTAGTTTGGCATTGTAACGGCGTGTAGGGTAATGGACTAATGTAATTTGTACCTTTTTAAATATATTTTATGACCCAAAATACTGTTAATCTTTATTAAACTTGCTAACTACATAACTTCTAATAATAATTTTGAAGTCCAGTACCCTATTCCATCACTTTCTTTACAGTAATTAATGTATGTACCATAATTGTCAAATAAAAATATAGTTATCAATTATTTATTTATTCCCAAAAATCAGTAAGTATTAATCGTAGGGTTGATTTTGAATCGCTAATTTATATTTCATAATCATAACTACATGTCTGGACTATAAATTATACCTTGTGAAATATGTATAGTTTGGTTCCTGGTATCAGGATAGTTTATGAGCAGATGTAATGCATTAGTTTAATTCTAAATTTGGTGCTATTTCCTTGTGATTAATTACGTTGTATTACCTATAACTGACACATATTTGCTTTAGGTATTGATTGATTGCGGGTTCATTGTCTATTGTCCATGCAAACAAAACCATATTACGCAGGGTATAGTTACCAAAGTTTCGATGCACTATTGATGTGATTTTTCACAATATTTATGTGTTTGGATTGTTTATGTCTCAATACATTATTGTACTCTCATCCATTCGATTTCAAATTATAATCATGTTACATTTCGTGGCTTGAAAGTACTTCGTACAATTCATTTCCTAAACTGGTGATGGCTATTATACTCTTTCAACTATACATAATGTAAATACATTCTAACGTAACCATTAGTTTGATGTGCTAATTTTAGTTCGTTAGAAACGCTTCATTGACACATACACAAACAATCTAATTGCGTCGTCCGACTTATGAACAATATCATGAAATTACATAAAAAATATGTAGGTTAATATGTAAATTACTTGTAAATAGTTTTTAGAGAGAGGCATACTCATATTATCTGCTTTTCTGTATTTAAAATTATAGTAGGTACATTGTATATTTAGATTTTACTTTCATAGTCAGTAACGTCTCGCATTCGGGTCAAAAGAATCAAGCATGTGTTAGGTTTTCAACATTTAGACAAAAAATCACAAGCTTGAGCCTATTCTTGAGTATTGAGTGTAGTTTTGTAATATGTACTCGAAACTCGTTTTCAATACATACATACACGTCTCTTCGTCCATTACATGCTTTAGGCTCAAAAAATTATTAAATACAGTCAGCATCAAATAGTTCGCGACACCTAAAGCAGCCAAAAAGTTCGAAACACGTCTTTGTTACAATGAGGGCTATCGTTTTTATACTTAACAGTTGGCACCCCTGGCGATTGACAGGACCTTACTCTACAGTGGCGCCATCTTGATGAGTGCAAATGCGATAGTCCTCCTACCACTTTAGCGCTCACACGTTGGCGCCACTGTCTTCGCTACTAGCAAGTGACAGGACCTTACTCTACAGTGGCGCTAACTGGTGAGCGCTAAAACGATAGCCCTCATTGTACAATCAACGTCAAATATTTCGTGTCATTTTAATTATTGATTGCCGTGCTGTGTAAATGAGCCTTTTTATCATGATTATAAACATAAGTTTTTGTTGTGCTGTATGTTGATATTCATGTAATAGTTGTGTACTGTAGATACTAGTTTATTGGTTTTCTATAGTTGCTTCGTTTGTTTCAGCGCAGAACGAACTTCTTTGAACAAAATGGATGGATGTAGTGCCATCACTGGTGAGTACTACTATATTTACCTACTTATTAAAAAAATACACAACTATAGGTCGCGCAGCAAGAGTTGAGGCTTTGACACAAGAAAAGATGCGAAAACGTTGACGTCTTGCGTATTCTGACTGATTGTGTGTTCTGTATTCAAATATTACATCAGCGTGAGTACTCAAGAACGTCTGAACCGATTTAGCTGAAAATTGTTAGGGAGGTAGTTTTGAGCCAGGAGAAGGACATAAGATACTTTTTATCCCGTTCGAAATAAATAAAAAAGTCTGCTTATTTATTGCCATTAAGGCGGAACAAAGTTCGCCGGGTCAGCTAGTAATTAATATTTGTCAGTCAAATTACTTCTGTAACCTCAATTTTAATAATATATCTTTTCGTTTCCAGGTTGAAGCACGTTAAGATGTTAATCATGAAGGTTGTTATTGAATGATAGTCTATTTATCTCGGGAAGCTCGCGCTGCGGATCCACACAGAACTTCTGATCGACACTAGAATACACAAACGTAAGTATTTTATTTGTATTATGAAAATAAACAACGTTCCTTGTGAATTTGTTCTCATATGCCTCAAAAAGTGATGGATCAAAATGTGTTTCATATTTTACGGTCGACTTANCTGAAAATGCTCTAAGCAGATCATAGGACTGGTAGGATCAAAATGCGCATCTCAGACCGAGCCTTCACTGGACACAGCAGCTTAAACAAGCACTAGTCCACTATGGGACTGTCCGAATCAAGAACGTGCAGGATGTGCCAAGAGGCAGATGAAACGTCACTACACATTCTCACGGACTGCGGACCTTTGATGCGCAAGCGGAGCTTACACCTGGGCAAACACATCCTAATCCCACAAGATGTAAAACATATCGCCCCCCAAAAGATACTGCAATTCCTAATGGATGCAGGACTCGGAGGCGAACTGTAAGGAAAATAGCGGCGATCACAATAGATCGGTACCGGTCGCAGTGATACTAGGACTTTATTGAACTAGAATAGCCGCTCAAGTCAATAAAAAAATAGTTCTTCTGCGTTTGAAACACAAATTAGTACAGTATAGGAGAGGAATAAATTTCAAATAGTTTGTACAGTATCAGTATCGGCGCGCCGATAGCTGGTCGTCGGTGGCGGCGGCGTGAAAAAATTCGCGGCGGCGGCGGCGCGCCGGCGTGGCGCCCACCTCTACGTCCATTACATGCTTTAGGCTCAAAAAATTGTTAAATACAGTCAGCATCCAATAGATCGTGACACCTAAAGCAGCCAAAAAGTTCGCAACACGTCTTTGTTACAATGAGGGCTATCGTTTTTATACTTAACAGTTGGCACCCCTGGCGATTGACAGGACCTTACTCTACAGTGGCGCCATCTTGGTGAGTGCAAATGCGAGTCCTCCTACCACTTTAGCGCTCACCAGTTGGTGCCACTGTCTTCGCTACTAGCAAGTGACAGGACCTTACTCTACAGTGGCGCCATCTTGATGAGTGCAAATACGATAGTCCTCCTACCACTTTAGCGCTCACCAGTTGGTGCCACTGTCTTCGCTACTAGCAAGTGACGGGACCTTACTCTACAGTGGCGCTAACTGGTGAGCGCTAAAACGATAGCCCTCATTGTACAATCAACGTCAAATATTTCGTGTCATTTTAAATTATTGATTGCTGTTGTGTAAATGAGCCTTTTTATCATGATTATAAACATATTATGTTTTTGATGTGCTGTATGTTGATATTCATGTAATAGTTGTGTACTGTAGATACTAGTTTATTGGTTTTCTATAGTTGCTTCGTTTGTTTCAGCGCAGAACGAACTTCTTTGAACAAAATGGATGGATGTAGTGCCATCACTGGTGAGTACCATAAATTAAAAAAATACACAACTATAGGTCGCGCAGCAAGAGTTGAGGCTTTGACATAAGAAAATTTGCGAAAACGTTGACGTCTTGTGTATTCTGACTGATTTGTGTGTTCTGTATTCAAATATTACATCAGCATGAGTATGTGTCTGCCTCAACTTTCGTTGCGCGTCTTATAATCTCACCCTTAATTTATGTAATAGAGATTCACAAAGTTTCTAAACGAATATTATGTCACATTATCATAATGGGTCAAACCGAGTTGAGATAGGGCAGAAAATGCATTGTGATAGTTCGTTTTCTCAATTGCCTGCCCGATCCTCTTATTACCACTAAAGTACGGCCAACGAGAAGCGATACAAAAGGTCGATTCGACTGTCGAATTGACAATCTATTCTGTCTCTTCCCATCTTGTGTATTTGTCGTAATGTCTCGTTCTCCGGCCAAAATATGTCAAAGTCAAACTCTTAGGCTGGGTTGCACCATCTTACTTTAACTTTGACAAACGTCAAAAATCTGTCAAATTCCATACAAAAAGCACCGGTTATCGTCATAGTTACCGTTAAAGATAGGTGGTGCAACCCATCCCTACTATTCCAAATGACCATGACATTGGGTTTGTTTACATTATTTTGGTATCGCTTCTCGTTGGCCGTACTTTACATACTAATATGGTACACCAAATTCTATTTTCTATTTTTCTTTATGAGAGTGCCTCAACTCAATATGTCTTTTTTAAATAATTCATATTTGTCAGTCAAATTACTTCTGTGACCTCAATTTTAATAATATATCTTTTCGTTTCCAGGTTGAAGCACGTTAAGATGTTAATCATGAAGGTTGTTATTGAATGATAGTCTATTTATCCCGGGATGCTCGCGCTGCGGATCCACACAGAACTTCTGATCGACACTACAATACACAAACGTAAGTATTTTATTTGTATTATGAAAATAAACACGGTCCTTGTGAATTTGTGTTCACATATACGTCAAAAATTTATGGATCAAATGTGATTCATTTTACGTTCGACTTAGCATAATTACGCCTTAAACAATAAGAGAGATAAGTGACTTAAATTGAGACTATAAATTGTCTACGGTAACTCTAAAAGTCCTATAATGTATCATCTTAGTAAGTACTACTTATAAGATTTACTTTTATCTTCTTAGAGTAAAGGGTCAGCAAAATTACTATGTTCCTATAATTACGGCAATTAATGAATGTAAATTAATTTCGAATTAATAATTTCCATCCTGGATTAAATTTGGCTTAAATAATTTAAAATTATCGTACACGCCAAATGACACTAAAATACTCTTTATTATTACGTAAATAAGTACATCTAGTCGATTATAAGTGACTACATCACATTTTTAGAATTAAACTATTATTTGGTTTATTTTGTATTGTATCTAAGAAAAAAAAACAATAGTGAGGGGAAAGAAGTAGTGTCGATAAAAGTTCTGTGTCCGATATCCGTTTGTTGTACACTGTCAGTTCTTTTATATACTAGGTATGTATAGATCGCGCATATTTTGTATAAATGACTATTAGTTTTAAACGCGTTCGATCACTGATATAGCTCACTGCTCCACGCGTGTTTATTAGTTATTCACAATGTATAAAAGTAGATAGATATAGATTTTTTTTGTTTGCGGTATTTGTCACTCGAATAACTAATAAATACAATTAATTACGTGTTCAATATGTCTATCTGTAAGAGTCGAAATAATCGTGTTGTTCAGTATTCATTGCAACCAAATCAGTTAAGCCGATTTTACTTTAAAATATATTTTTGTTTACTTATACAAGTACCGTGAGGATCTAGTGCTAGTTTCTTTATCGATAAGATCGATATTAACAACTTGTCAAAGAATTTTGTTACATTTCGTACCGCTAGATGGCGTTAGTACACTGAGTAAAATTATTACCATAGTAAAATATTAAAATGAAATAATACCTACCAATGCTGGCACTAGATCCTCATGTTATGTTGTCAAATAATGGAAAAATGATTATTTTAATAATTATGTTTATTTTTATTATTCTTATCTACTTATTTCTTCACTTGAGAGATCTCCGACTTGATATTTTCACTGCCATTGCGTAGTTGCGTTTGTATGGGATTACCTAAAATAGTTTTAATCGTGTTAACGGTATTATTTACTGTACGAAATATGTATGGCTGGTGTCAAATGAGATAGTCATTAGATACTACATAGTACATACATAATATCAGATACAAATGGATGTTTTACTGTAAACCTAAAATAAGTCTTAAAATACGGTAATAATTTCGTTAAACGCTGTCGTTGGTATTGTCCAATTATTTTACTAATAGGCAATAGCTAATTTCCTAAGAAATATCTGTCAGTATATTCACACTTTCCATTTCTTTACAACTCATCTTCTCTACTCAATCAATTATATTCACAATCTCTATAAACACATCATTTTTACGCCAAATGATATTTTTATATGGTAAAAATATGAAAATACTGACATATTTTCAAATATTCATCATAATAATATAAATAATATAGTCCGTGTAAATAAATGTCTATGTTGTTATAAAAATACTAGAAAAAGATATATAGCGAAATTGATTTCGTATTTGTGAATAGGTGACCGCCTGGTTGGTATAACCGTGGAGCAGTATATAGGTATTTATTTTTAATACATAATAATGAACCCTGTGAGAAATAGTTTATTTATGTGTCTCCGAAACTAAATTATGTTTCGGCCACGTTCTGTTGAACGCAAAAACATGTTTTAATCCAAATTCCAAATTATTCCCAATGTAATAATTATGAATAAATATTTATAATGAATAGAAAATTTTGAGTTTTAATGACATTGCCATAACGCAACGATAAATAATTATTCCCATCGTTCACGCATATTATTATGTTTGTTGCAAGTTGAAACCCAATGTAGACTACAGATGGCGCTATTTCTATGTCGGAGTAGGTAGGGTTGACACTATAAAAATTATGCAGCGTATAAATAAAAATAAATATGTATTAAAATGGTTAAATAAAGTAGGGTTCAAGGCAAATGAAACAACAAAGCTCTTCATCAATATTTTTTTTATTAATTTCACAAAAGTATTCATTAAAAGCCACAGTTTGAAGGCTTTTAAGCTGTCAAAGCGATGACGGTCTTTAAACATTACTTCCATCGTTTTACAAGTCAACAGTGAGCTAGAAAACAGGAATTCGGAAGCTATCTAATAAATAACTACATTATAAACATTACGTTTTATAGAAAATATTGACATATACTTCATTCGAATAAGGGCAGTCAAGCTTGCAGCCACGTCTATTGCTAGCCCGCGGGCCGTGCGCCCGCGAGACGTTTAAATATCCAATTTATATATTTTTTGTATAAATAATGACTTTTATTACTTATATTTAACGCGTGAATAACACTATGTTTACGTATTATAGAACAGCTCAGTGTACCATTTATACTGACATATTTATATATATAAATTGTGAAGCGACACTGATTCTAATATTTGAAATATAATATTAAGCTATTTTGTGATTTCTAAACTCGAATGCCTTATGCTATGTTGAGAGAAAAATGGCTTTTATTCATTACATTTTAACGATAAACATAACTGAAATCATATTTGTGCCACAAGTTAGCATTTAATAAATGAAATCAATTCATATAAATGTAACGTAAATAAATAAAAGCCATTCCACCTCAAACAAAATATATTTAGGTACTTATTTTATTTGAAGTGTTACAGACACAAAAACACTTTATTATTAGGTATTAATTTATCAACTATCCTTCATGTCGAATACTTCTGAACTTTAGTAAGTTCTTACGAGTGGGTCCCAGATCGTTCTTATGATTACCTTCCATAGATTTGATCTACCGTCCTCCCACTAGATCGGCCATTTTGTTGTAACGTTCAAGATGGCGGTCTTATCAATAATATTGCTATCCTCGTCAGTTACAATTTAAACATCTTAAGATAACAGCCATTTTGGGAACGTTTTCCAAACAAGATGGCGTCCTTATTTTTGGAAGCTGTCGCGCTATTGCTTTTATATAATCGATGATGTGGACTATACATATACAAATATATATTTATTGAAAGCTCAATGTGTTACTAACACCCTTGTAATGATGAGGTTTAGGATTTAAACTGAAATCAAGGTTATATTAAAATATTTTCGTCTGCAGATCGTCGCTATTTAATATTATAACCTCGACTTCATCGAAACCATTTAAAAATACGCTGAATCCAATATTGCAATATACCCGTGGGAAATATTCGGTATTCCGCCCAAAGCTTACATAGTAACAACTATACAAAATGCGGTGACGTACATACAAAAAATATTTTTCTTTCGCAATCGAACTCTCAATTTTCATATATACCTTACAAGCTTAAGCAAAAATAAACTCTTTATCTATCCAATAGGGTTCTATACGAATATGTAATTTATCCACCCAACGTGATAAGTTTGAAATACATTTGGAAATCAACTTCTTATTCTAGATTCATACCGTGCTCAAACCAAACTCCTCCAGCCAGTGAATCCCAACTAAATTATTACAAGCGTTTACACAATTCCTCTATTTGCAACACATTTATCTCTTACATTTTTGGTTCACTTTACAAATTGACATCCCACTTTGACCCATTAAAATGAATGAAAAATTCAATTTTCCAAAATTATTATACACTCGCGAGCAAAACTATGGAATCACTTACATGAAGTTGTTTCCACGCGAACTCGTGTACTAACGAATTTGTTAGTAACAAAAAAAGTGGCACCATTTTAAAGATTAAACTTTTATCTTTAAATTGATACCAAATTCATTTAAATCACACCAGTATTTAAAAAGATATCCCGGCTGATGTGAAGAAGTAACGAAAAAGACATGTATGAACTGTTTGATACGTCGCGAGGTGCGGCCTATTTACCTCCTATAAAAGCACGCGTTTTTAGATTTTTGCTTTCACACGTTGATTCGTACACATCTCCGCTTCTTTTGACACTTTACCTGGGATTCTACATCTTCAGAAGCAGCACAAATCGTTGCACTATTGCAAGAAAGCCTCAGCCAGCGGGCTGTCGCACGTCAGCGCCACTTAAGCCAGTCCTGGCTTTCGAAAGTTTCAAGACGCTTTCGGGAGACTAGTGGCTTTATCCCGAGACCAAGTTCTGAACAGCGCCGTTGCACATCGCAGAGGAAAGACCGTTTTTTCATGTCAACCTCTCTATGAAATCGTCATTTGACTGGAATCGATGTCCATCAAGAGCTCAGAAATGTTCGTAAGATAGCTGTTAGCGAGTGGACAGTTCGTCTAAGATATAAGCAATAGAATTTGACTCCAAAAAGGCCTGCCACAGGCTCGAAACTGACAGCAGGTCACCGATAAGCGCCCTTTTAATTTGCTCGTACACATCTCGATGGGAAGTTCTGTTCTCCGATGAATGCAAACTGTGTTTGCAGGACAGCATTCGAAGAGGTCGGGTTTATAGGCGGCCTGCGGAGCGATTTGTGCAGTGCTGGTTCGCTGAAACAGTGGCTTATGGAGGTGGCTTGCTCGACTTAACATCGAGATGTGTACGAGCAAATTGAAAGCGTGCTTATCGGTGACCTGCCGTCAGTTTCGAGCCTGTGCCAGGCCTTTTTGGAGTTAAATTCTATTGCTTATGTCTTAGACAAACTGTCTACTCGCTAACAGCTATCCTACGAACATTTCTGAGCTCTTACTGGACGTCGATTCCAGTCAAATGACGATTTCATAGAGAGGTTGACATGAAAAAACGGTCTTCCCTCTGCGATGTGCGCCGGCGCTGTTCAGAACTTGGTCTCGGGATAAAGCCACCAGTCTCCCGAAAGCGTCTTAAAACTTTCGAAACCCAGGACTGGCTTATGTGGCGCTGACGTGCGACAGCCCGCTGGCTGAGCCCTTCTTGCAATAGTGCAACGATTTGTGCTGCTTCTGAAGGTGTAGAATCCCAGGTAAAGTGTCAAAAGAAGCGGAGATGTGTATGAATCAACGTGTGAAAGCAAAAATCCGAAAACGCGTGCTTTTATAGGGGGTAAATAGGCCGCAACTCGCGACGTATCAAACAGTTCATACATGTCTTTTTCGTTACTTCTTCACATCAGCCGGGATATCTTTTTAAATACTGGTGTGATTTAAATGAATTTAGTATCAATTTAAAGATAAAAGTTTAGTCTTTAAAATGGTGCCACTTTTTTTGTTCCTAACAAATTCGTTAGTACACAAGATCGCGTGGAAACAACTTCATGTAAGTGATTCCATACTTTTGCTCGCGAGTGTAGTTATGCAGCTTGCTTTCTTTTTTTCTGAAAATTAACAATTAAACTTAGGAAATGTCATTTTAATGCCATTGTGATTCGCACGCCGTATGTGACGTCTTTTTTCAAGAATCTTGGCACGCCTCTCATGTTTTTACTTAAAGTACCTTAGTAAAGGGCCTTAGTGAGATGTTTTCAATTGTTTACTATACAAGATTTAGAAACGTAACACCCAACTCCAATATACTGGCTGGAAGCCATACCATCTCATTCAAGTTTCCAATTGAAACTATCTAATGACTATCAAGACAGGGTACTAATGTCAATGAGATAGTTATCTCAGTTTGATAGTCGTGCGTCCCACATCGATAAGAGGGCACTTTTATGATTGTCCACATCTTTCACGCTTCGCGGTCTTTATTACAATTAACATAAAGTTTACAATTATTTACAAAGATACGTTCCTACAGCTCCCATAGATGCCTTACAATAAGTACTATTTTTATACTAATTTACACCGAAATCTATGTTAACATCATCCCGTGACTGTAACTTAACCAATTACTATACCGATACGAATTCACGATAAATTTACAAAAGCATAATTTCTACCGCTATGGACTAGGAATTTATAAGGTAACTTTCATTGTTAAGATCATAGAAAAAGCGACCTCTTGTCGCTTTGTTATGTAATTGTAACATAAGTAGTGATATATTATAATAAAAACTTAATAAAGAACCCTTTCTACAATATCAACATTAATGTGTGAAACCTAAGTTTGGAGTAAAATAAGAAATTATATTCTGTTATGGTGACATAATGACAACATTATCATAAAGTATTTTACATAAAAGGAAATAAAATTTTACAGTTTTGAATTCCTTATTTTAGTAGCTTTAATTTACAAAGCACTGTGAATTTTATTTTTATAAATAATTTTAGGCCGGATTTTGCAATCTCCAGAAAACTAAACTGAATAATAAATTGACGTTTTTGACACATTGTCGTCACAAAAGTTGTCAATATGTCAAACTTAGTCCACAGATAAAGTTATCTGATGACTGAAAAACCAGCTGTTATTTGTTTAATTAATTTATAAACGATTACATAATCGAGTATAAACTAAAACATGCTTACAGAAATCAACCAAAATAAAATGTAACAGAGGTAGATAAAACAGATCAGATCAAGTCAATATTATTATTTACTTAACTATTTTAATATGCTGTATTGCGTGATATAAGCTAGGTCTGCCATTCCCTCAATAACCTGATATAAATCCTAATCGGTCGCATTTCAACTAAACTACTATTACAATATTAAATATCTGGAATAATATCAATTTAAAGTTAGATTTAGTGGAGATTCTCGTATGAAGGCCAGTGGCCCCATTATTTTTTATTTTAGGCCGGCAATACACGGACAGCTCAAGCAGTCAAGAGTCAACAGCTTGAAGCTGCCAGCGATAACTGCTCGAGCAGTTGGTATTAACTGCTCAACAAATCACAAGCGCGCGCGCCGTGGAATGTAGAAAGTGGGCGGAGGTAACTGCGCGAGAGCTGTCGACAGCTCGAGCAGTCAGTGTATGGCTGGCGACTGCTTGACCGCACGATGAAAATTCACCGTGCTGTCGACCGCCCGAATCAGTTGCAACTGCTCGAGCGGTTCGTGTATGTGCGTCCATAGAACTCTGCAGTTCACTGTGCAGTCGCAGCTTGAAGCTGTCGACCCTGACTGCTTCAAGCGGTCCGTGTATTGCCGGTCTTACTGTAATTGTATGTTAGTTGAAATGCCAAACCTTCAAGATTCGACTGCTCGGACTCTGACAATATGACAGCACGAAATTGTATTTTTTTCTCGCCTCCAGATCTTACATTAAAATACTGATACATTTTTCCTTTTACAGAAAATGAATAACATGTAAATTCTCGATCAGGCTCTTTAGACTAATGAGATCTTATCTTACGAGTAAAAAAGCTAAAGCAAAGATCACAAAATTAACTATCATTTTGGTATAACGTAGAGTAAATAACATTTCACTTTGATAGTAATACTTTAACTATCATAACTGGATAAGTCTATACAAAAATGATAGTCCATATTGAAAGTGACTCGCTGATATATACATTGTGACGTCATACACTTCAGTGTGGTGTAAATTAGGTGCTATGATACAAAGACTACGATGTGTCAAATCAAAATGTATAATAATCATGAAAAACCATTATATCAACTAATATCAGCAGCTCAAAGAGAGGGACACTATTTCTATTGAACTCCGTTGCGTAGGTTTTGTATAAAATGTATATGAGCTGCAGACTTTAAAGGTAATCCAATATAATAAGACACAAAAATGGTTAAATGACAGCCCTATAAGACACTGATAACTTTGTACGACAGATTTACTAGTTTTTGAAAATTAGGTCTGTAACAATAAAGCAATTTTGAATATAATATCAGTAATCTGTTGAATTACTTATTGATTCTTATCAGTTTAATTTTGTTCTCACTATTTGTCATTTAAATGTAATTTAAATAATAAAGAAATGTGTCTAAATGACTCCGGATTTAAAGATTGAGGTACGTTTTAGTCTCTAGGATGCCACACAGATAGTGACGTCATAATACATTAAAACATTAGTATATTTTGTCAACAAGCAAGTTACAGTGTCTTAAATACAAAAGAACTAATAGATATGTTTAATGCAGTCGATTGAATTCTTTATATTAATGTTCTCGCAATGCGTGTTGCGTGCTTGCAAATACTTACTTTATAACTCAACGGATTATACGTTGTTTGACATATCCACTTAATAATATAACCACAACAGTATTGTCAATTAATTAGATAGTCAACAAACGCCACGAGATTGCTATATGCCACATAATCATAAATGGACTAGTTCAAGGCGCCTATATTTTTGTGCGTCCATATACTAGCGGGCGCGGGCGCATCCATACTAGCGCCTTCTACAAATGGCGTACGATTAACTAGTATTAGAAGATATCGTGATAAGTGTTAGCAAAGCTGGTACGAATATTCTCTTTTTGAAATCATTTCACATGACATTCGTGCCAGCTGTAATGAAACGACCTAAATATAAATATCTCCACCCGCTAGCGTCAGAACTTAGCACGTAAATGTCCGTTTTATTAAGGAGCTCTCACCAGCAGCAGCGCATGGAACAACACCTGGAACTTGGTAGAAAACTTAAACGGTACCGTTTCACGTTCAATTGTCACACTAAAAGTCTGTAGAGCATTCGAAATTGAATCTTGAAACGGTAGCGATTGGGTTGATTCTCGTCAAGTCGCAGCCATGGCCTAGCTCAAGTTCACTCCCGGTTCTGGAAGGATTCGAAGAGGTTGTCGTATTCGTGTTGGTTGGCGGCGCCCGGGCCCGCGCTGCGAGGCGGCGAGGGGCCCGGGGAAGGGCTGAAAGGAAAACGGGTTAAAATAAAGACTATGCTTCCAAGAGTTTACTGGATTTAGGATCATAGAGAACACGCAATAGGGTCCTGTGTTTTGGTAAGTATGAATATTTTGGTTAAGAGTGGATTCGACCAAACAAGAGTAAGGCCCAGAACAGACGGTGCAACAAAACTGCAACTGCTAGTTACTTTTGAGTTGCATCTAAGTTTCTGCCATAGCGTCCGTTGAGAGACCACACATGACGCGACCAAGTTGAAACTTTCAGTTTCAGTTTCATTCCTAAGAATCATCAGAAAGTTGCAGTTTCGTTGCAGTTGCGTTTCACCGTCTGTTCTGGGCCTTAATATTAATCTCAGAATAAATCGTCAGTTTTACATTTCCCATACTGAAGAGTTATACCAGAAGTTATTTTCGGATAAAAGTTTGATCAAATCGGGCTTATAGGTAGGTAAAATTGGCATGCAAATGCTGAACTGGATTCTGTATACCTGGATAAGTGTAGCGCGTTGGCTGCCGTTAGATAGCGAGTACTCTAAGAGCGGCCGTGTTCAGTAGTACCTTTTTTGTACACCTGGTGGGTGAATGTTGGCTTCCTGGCCAGTGACTATGGATGTTTAGTAGCGGTAGTAGACCAGTTTAACCCATTAGAGGTCACTGTACTTAAATGGGTACAGCTATATTTTTACGTGTCAATTGCAAATCTCACAAAATTAACATGGGTAGACTTGTTATTTTACGTCATTATGACACTATTAAAGTATATTGACAAAAATTACGCGGGTAGTGGGACTTTTTTTGATAAAAAGTATCAGTTGAAGTTGTGTCACTGAAACGTTGTGGAGGTAGGTGTTTAATTTTTAATTTTTTTATAACAATTACTGCTCAAAAGTTGATTTTTTTATTTAATTACTTTAGAATACATATCAGAGTAAGTTATAAAGCACAATATAATATAATATTTACATCTCAAATAAAACTAGGGTCATGTAAAAGTTACTGTACTCGGTTGGGTACAATGACAACATGCGTAAGTAAAAAAACTGTATTTATTTTTTGCTTTTTTGTAACGTTTTACAGCTCAAAAGAGCTAAAAGGGACTTGAAGAAATTATTGGAGCCATTTACAGGATAGTTATTGACGATGAATGTATTTTAGGTACTAATTGTACCACCTGATACAAGTACCTTGACTGAAAAAGACGATATGGCGGCCTGTTTCATACCATAACACCATAAGACGTACTAAAGGGTATTTATGAACAGAGGGGATAGTGGAAGCAAAGGCAGTTTATAGGACGGCGTGAAAAAAAAGACGATAGGTTCCCACAATACCGCTCTGAATCCGCACCCAATCAAAAGTCGTAATTCTTCAGTCGTGAAGTCTATGGTGATAAGTTTGCTATATTTTATGAAGAGCTGAAGGGCCTCAAACTTGCACAGTATTTGAAAAAAAAAAATACTGACCATATTTTTATATCCAATAGATAACTACGACGCTTCACATTATCATTATGATATTTTTATTGGCTACAATCATATCAGTATCCAATCAACACAATACACTTGGGATTCCTATAAAACCCTATTTACGGGTTTTGGTACTATCAGAGTACCACAAGCTACCTCGAGAGACAGTGTATTGTACTTTACTGGTCACTAGATGAAGAGATATGCTAAGTAAATAAAGTAAATTCGCCCGGCTGTACACATAGTTGATAGTTTTCCTTCAAAGTTCTGTTGGAAAATATACCATAAAAACTGAAAAAGAGCTGGGGTAAGTTCTCTGTCATTCAACAGTGCGTTGGCAGTATAAGAAGTCCCTTAAAACATTTTTGGTTGAAAAGGCGCATTTTGAAAATTAGCATACTTAGGAGGTCATTGTACCCAATTGAGTACACCCCTGTAACTTCATGAAACTAACTTTTTTTCAGCATTTTCTTGTATCTTGTGTTTTTTTGCTCTGATTTCAATATGAAAATAAAGAAAATTTAAAAAATATATTTGTACTTTGTGTTTGACCTCTAATGGGTTAACTGCTAGGTGAGTGCTGGCTCGCTCACGAGTCACTGACGTAGGTCGCTGCTACTAAAGCCCGGTCTCTGAGCACGTAGAATTTTGTCCAATGACCCCAAGCTACCCATCCTTATCGCTCTCGCTGTTGCTTTCGCGCTCGCACACTCACTGCGGCCGCCCGTCGCACACTTCGCGACTGTGCGACGGGCGACCGCAGTGAACAATATAATTACGCGCGAGCGATAAGGATGGGTAGCTTGGGGTCATTGGACAAAATTCTACGTGCTCGGCGACCAGACTATAGTACCGCTGTCAGCAACTGTCACCTAGATGTGTAGGCACCAGTACATACCTGCTGGGTGAGTGCTCGCTCGCTCACGAGGCGCGGCGGCCGGTGAGCGAGCCCACGAGCGACTTGAGCGCCTGCCCGAGCGAGGCGCGGCCGGGGTCGCTGCTGCTGCCGCTGCCGCCGCTGGCCAGCGATGCTGCGCCACCGTGAGCGTCCAAGCACTTCTGGTAGCGGAGCTGGAAGGAAGAAAAGAGGTTTTATCATTCTCAGTAGTCATTCATTTAGGCGGGTTTTAGGCTTGATTTCCTCCTACGCTGACGTCGGTCGCGTACATCGGTCGAGCGTACGAGTAAACACAATGTTCTATGAAGCACCGCACTGCAACGCTGTCGTCAGTACTAAATTATCTGCCGTCAGCGTAGGAGGAAATCAAGCCTTAGAATCGCGCTGACCGCTCACTGATCGTCGGCGCTGACAGATCAATATGGATGTTCGTTCGTTCTGTTGNCTCCAGGTAACGACTGATTCGAGATTGTGACCTAGGAGGTCATATGCCTCAGTCACAGATCCAAATATAAAGCCCGGTCCGTGAGCACGTAGAATTTTGTCCAATGACCCCTAGCAACCCATCGTTATCGCTCGCGCGTAATTATATTGCTGTCGCGACTGTGCGACTGGCACCCGCAGTGAGTGTGCGAGCGCGATAGCAACATAATTACGCGCGAGCGATAAGGATGGGTCGCTAGGGGTCATTGGACAAAATTCTACGTGCTCACGGACCAGACTATAGATCGTTTCATCCACGAAAACGCGCCCCACCAATTTTTGGTCGAGGAAGCGCGGGGTGTGGAAAGTTTGATCCGAGCAATCCGAGCGTCATTATTGTAGTGTGCGTTTGCACTCATGTATAATTTAGCGTGTACCGATAACACTCAAATTAGCGGAAGAATGATGGGGCGCGTCTTCATGGATGAAACTATCTATAAACGTCGGCACTTCGGACAGCTCCAGGTAACGATGTCTGACACCGTCTGATTCGATACTGCGGTCTTCCGCTGGTGTGTCAGACACAGACTCGCGCACGTCGCAGTCGGACTCGCTCACGTCCAAGCCCGCGCCTTCCTCCGAGAACGCGGCCACTTCAGACAGCTCCAGGTAATCCCTCATTAATGTTACAGATTCGATACTGTTATCTCCTTATTCCACCAGTACGTCAGACACAGCTCTAAAAACAGCTTCAGGTATAAACTCCCCTTGAAGTCTGACACCGTCTGATTCGATACTGCGGTCGTCGGCTAGTGTGTCATAAAAAACGGGTCAGAAAGCGCGGTCACTTCAAATACAGGTAAACATCTATGATGCCGATCTGACTCAGTTAGATTCCAGATTGACCCGTTAGTGTTAGATGCCAGATAAACATTGGCACCTTCGACAACTTCAGACATCGACAATTTCTGGTCAAGAATTTTGCCTTCTGTGACACAGATGTATCCCCTACTATGCCTGTTACCATCGGCTTCGGAAACTGACATTTTAGACCATTTAGGCCAGTGTCTGACGTAGTCTAACGTGGCCACGGGTCCCGTACGTAGTGGCGAAGGTCGATTTAGCTAAGTACGTTTTGGCGAAAAACCTTCATGGTGGTACGCTGGAGCGAAAGGCCACTGAAGCGAAACACTCGCGGCCGAAAAAGTACCTACTTTTGCTGACCTAGGACAGCCTAATTTTGATTTTATTTTTAATCAATGACATTTTGTAACAATTTAATTTCATGAAAATACATGTTATTTCGTACATTGTTACCTAGCTCAGCAAAAGTACTTTTTCGGCCGCGAATGTTTCGCTTCAGTGGCCTTTCGCTCCAGCGTACCACCATCAATGTTTTTCGCCAAAACGTACTTCTCTAAATTGACCTTCGCCAATACGTACGGGACCCCGTGGCCACATATCGTGTGCAACTGGCAGGAAACTGCCCCGCCAGTTCCTAACAAGACAAAACTTGTGACGCCCGCTGAGTCGCCTTTAGAGCTCGGATAAAGTAGCCCTAGAAATCATCTTTCTATTGGACAATCTAAAGCCTGGTCCGTGAGCGACTGTGCGACTGCCACCCGCAGTGAGTGTGCGAGTGCGACAGCAACATAATTACGCGCGAGCGATAAGGATGGGTAGCTTGGGGTTATTGGACAAAATTCTACGTGCTCACGGACCAGGCTTTAGTAATGCAGAAAGAAACGTCAATCTCACTATCACATTATATCCAACATATAAAATACATTCTCATCTTTATGTCCTCTTCTCAGGGATGCCGAGAAAGTGGAAGTGAAACTCCCCCCATCAGTGGTCCAAGTGTTGGAAGACTTGGAGGCGGTGGTGAACCGGAATTTCGTGGAGACGCCCAACCTCGCCGCCAAGGAACTCGAGGCCAAGACTGATCAGTATCTCATCAGGTGACTTGTATACTGAATTAATATTCAAATAAAATACTAGCTTTCCGCCCGCGGCTTCGCCCGCGTTAAATTTTGTCTGTCACAGAAAAACTATCGCGCTCGTCCTTTTTTCAAAAACCGGGATAAAAACTATCTCCATGCCATCAAAATCTATTCAGTGGTTTAGGCGTAAAAGTGAGACAGACAGACAGAGTTACTTTCGCATTTATAATATTAGTATAGATTGGACAATATCAGTAGAATCAGCATGGTCGTCGACGTAAAATTCAATTTTCTGCCTTTACAAGACAATTTCAGACAGGTTTCACATTTACAGTTAACTTTTCTTGAAGAATAGATATCAACATCAAAAACAAATTAATATGACAAAGGAATATCGAGGCAAAACGCCTAAATTTTTTTTTATTATTTAACTCATTATGTTAATTTACCCACGCTCACCATAACTAGTATTGTTTAACCTAATTAGATTTAAAATTTTCCCATTTTGTTGTTCTCTGTAATGTAAACCTATAGTGTTTAATAGAAGACATTCCTACGGTCACACAATTCGTTCAATTCAAGGTTAAACGGCTATTGTAGTTTAAAATTGAACCAAATCACAACTCGCTCCCCTCCTTTGACTTTGTTAAAAATAGCCCAGAAATAAATCAAGTACATATTGAGAGTGCTCCAGTTTATTGCATAAATAAATAATACATTGCAAACTTCAGACTGATGCGTATTCGACTGTGTTGTATTCGGCTCGCAATGCATTATGTATTGCTATATACTGTCGCGTCGAGTAAATACAGACGACAACACAGCAAAATAAACACAGGTCTTATGTAGTATGTAATAGGAGCGATTATGCAACAAAATCAAGTGTCTGTAGCCGGTACATTCTTAGTCGACCGCGCGACACCAACCGGTTTTCTACTTGGCGCCCGCGCCTCTTTCTTGTTATCTTATTGTGTCTGCAGTCTGTTTTGCACTTGGGACGGTGCGACAATGTTTATAATCTGCCTTTAAAGCATTTTATTTTTATTGTTTTCTAAAGTTGGCACAGAGTGAAGTTTTACGTGAATTTTGATGAAAATATCATTTAATAGTTTTTGGTATCTTTAATTGGATTTGTATTGAAGCCGGCTTCATCCTATTGCATAAATTCGTATACCTATTTGTATTACAACTGCGGTGTATTGATGTTTTATAACTAAACTGTTTTGTTGTGTAAAAGACAATCTTTGTACACTGGTGTGTTTCTAATATGAATATCCACAAGATGTCTATGCGTCCAAGGTGATTTTTATGTGATATTAGATCAAACTTGCTCATTACTTGATATTAAAGGCATAAGTAGACAGTGATATATTAAGTGATATTATGTCTTTTGGCTTAAATAAATTCAAGGTATTTTACATATGTAACTTGTTTAATGTGCGCGTTTAAAATGCTTAAACTTTTTGTCGCCGCTTGTCTGGAATCTAGATCATCGAAAATAGACGCACATTTATTGTTTATGTTAGACCTACTACTTCCTAGTTAAAACCTACCTTTTTCTAAGATTTGATGAACAGAACAGTTTGTTGTTGTTGTGTTTTTTCAGTATAGACCTACAGACAACACTTCCAAAAATTAAATGAACATGTTCTTACGCGGATTAAACCGCACCTCAATTTTTTCTAAGAAATATGCCATCTACTATAGATTTATCTATGGTTTGCAAACATTTTTAACTGACTAGAAATGAATAATTGAGTCGTCTAGTTTCAAAACCCGCTAAAACGCTCCTGCAACGAATTTCTGTTTATATCTCTAAATGACGTTACTGCAATTTTCTCATCATACTGTTCAGTCATTTTCGATCAAAATTCGCTTAAAGACTACTAAACTNTTAGTGCAATCGCTTTGAATATTATAGAATGGACAAATTATATGGACAATTATTTATTTTATCATTTTTTGGGTTATTTCATATTAGACTTTATTGTAGAACGCCATTCATGCATTACAATTTGTTCTTATCAAATCCCGCTAAAATACAACATGTTCGTTTCAAATCCCATTAAAACGGAATGTTCGTAACAAAGTACGCCAAAATGAAAATAGTTTTCATTATAATTCAAATTATATTTAATTTAAAGGTGAATAGGAATTACTGTTAGTATTGCCCGATGACAATAATAATTCGTATCATATATTTTTTTGCCTAAGGCCAAAGCTATATGGATAAGCGGTTTTTTTCAATTTCTCGAAATCTTATCAAAATCGTTTTAGCGGGATTTGAAACTAGACGCCTCAATTATGAGATTGCATTTGCTATTGTATCTTCAAAATATGCACATAATCTCGTACGTACTCTCAAACTAATATCCAAAATGTCCTTTTCAGGTTAGAACGCGTGTTGTCCAAGAACGGAGTCGATCCCGCGTCCACCAAAGCGGCTTGGACGCGCGCGGCGCGGTGTCTGGGCTCCACTCGATCGAAACTCCACCAGCGAGTCAAGTCGCGGCCGGAGAACCACGTCACGACTGAACCGCGTGAGTTAATGATGACGATGGTACTTTGTTGGGACTAGCTATAAGTTGGTGCGGTGTCTGGGCTCGTTCGTTCGTTTCAGCCAAATGACGTCCACTGCTGGACAAAGGCCTCCCCCAAGGTTTTCCACAATGAACGTTCCTGCGCTGCCCGCATCCAGGCTCTTCCCGCGACCTTCACCAGATCGTCGGTCCACCTAGTAGGAGGCCTGCCCACGCTACGTCTTCCAGCCCGTGGTCGCCACTCGAGAACTTTTCTGCCCCAACGGCCATCGTCTCTACGAGCTATGTGCCCCGCCCACTGCCACTTGATTTTAGCAATTCTGCGAGCTATGTCGGTTACTTTGGTTCTCCTGCGGATCTCCTCATTTCTCAGTCTGGGCTCGACTCGGTCGAAACTGCTGCAGCGAGTCAAGTCGCGGCCGGAGACCCACGTCTCGACTGAACCGCGTGAGTTGATAATCTTCTTCTTATCGTGTCGACAACAAACCTACACAGTGTCAACCCAAAACTCCGCTACAAGAGTGGCGTTGTCAGCAGCATTCATTAAATTCTGCGTGCAGTTGCTCGGCCACTCAGGGCACGACATCATGTGCTTCATCGACTGGGGAACAAACGCACCTGCACTCCCTGTTTGAGCCATCCAAGAATCCCCACTTGAACAGATTGTCGTTACTACGGACGACCTGCGTCTGAAGTCTATTTAAAGACTTCCAGGTAAGCCAGGGGAGCTCATGACCAGGTGGAGGACTCATGGTGATGATGATAGTACTTTGAAGGGACTAGCTATAGGATGGCGCGGTGTCTGGGCTCGACTCGGTCGAAACTGCTGCAGCGAGTCAAGTCGCGCGTCAACGAACCACGAACGACTGAACCGCGTCAGTTGATGATCAAGTGATCATCATCATCATCAAGTGATGATAATGATTGTGATAGTGATGAACCTTTGTTGGGACTTGTTCTATATTATGCTTTAGGCCCGGTTTCCACCAAGGTGGATCATAGAAGTGTTTAGAATAACCAATCAATTTTTTTTATTCAGGAAACCAGGATATCTGCTTTTGTGGAAACTGGGCCTTATGAAACTTCCTTTGTTGTGTTTTTATTTATTTATTTCAAACTTATATGCACATAGAGCAGTGTACACTGTACATAAGGCGGACTTTTTGTAGGATTTGAATCGAAAGCTCTACCCGACTGCGCCAGAAGAAGGGTATTGTTTTTATGTTTACTACTTATGAATATTGAAGGAAAATGAGCATTAAGTAACAGCATATTCTTTGAGTTCACTAATCTGCTGGTTACTCCCGAACATTTAAGGTTGAAAATATTAAAAAAAGTCTTTTATTATGCAGCACCGCCAGCGCCCGCCGCCGCCCAGTCAGCTGCCAGCAAGCGTAAGGCTGACGATGACGATGATGAGGACTTCAGCCGCCTCACCGCCGCCGAGAGGGAAGCCAAGATTGTGGAGACACTGCAAAGGTAGCAAAACTTTTGGCTTAAATATTTTTTGTTATCAACAATACTAAATGGTGCCTGTTGACATTATTAACTAATAGTTTCAAGACATCAAAAATGACACAGAATTCTAGCCCTGAGAACGCAAACAGTTCTTAACAACAACATAACTGTAAAATTAGTTGGCGAAAAAGTTACATCACAGTCACAGCTTGTATTTGCAGCACAAAATCTATAGAATAAGCACAATACAGCTCAAAAAAGACTGGTGGTTCACTGATGTAATAAGAACTGACCGGTTTGAAGATGAAAAGGATGAAATGTGATTTTATTTACACATTAACATATTTTTATGTTCATTTTTCAGGTTAAAATTGTTAATAGAAGAACGCAAACCAGACATGATTTCAAATTACAACGCCGAATGTGCACGGGTCCAGGAAGAGAAGTAAGTTATTAATTAATTTGCCATTATATCGGAGAAATCATATGACAATTGAAATGTTTTCTTTCATATCCGAGAAAACGCTGGTTCGAACTCCCCTATGTACTATTTATTGTGGTGAACCCACTCGTTACACAAGCTAAAATATGCTTGTATTACGCATAATAAATTGCTAATTACAAAACAATAATTAGAAAACGACTGACAAGTGCCGTCAAGTTAATAAAAGTCGGCGCGCCTCGCCAAATTTGCGCTCAAATACGTCTAATAATGTATTTTCAGGAAAAACTAAGTAGCGTCGAGGTCATCGAGTAAGTCGAGGGCGCGCCTATCGTAAAAAAAGTCTGCCAACCCAGTATATTATTATGATTAAAGCCTGATCCGTGAGCACGTAGAATCCCGTCTAATGACCCCAAGTTACCCATCCCTATCGCTCGCGCGTAATTATGTTGCTGTCGCGCTCGCACACTCACTGCGGGCGCCCGTCGCACAGTCGCGACAGCAACATAATTACGCGCGAGCGATAAGGATGGGTAGCTTGGGGTCATTAGACGGGATTCTACGTGCTCACGGACCAGGCTTTAGTGATGTCATGCTGCTTTTTACACTGCGCGGAAATTAGCCAAGTCAAGTCAAAAAAACAGTGGAGTGGGGATGAATTATGAATGAATTTCATCCCCACTCTTCTGTTTTTTGACTTGTAAACGCAGCATCAACTAGTTCATTTGTGTCTGTTATAATTCCAGGAAGAAACTCCAAGTGGCTTCAGCGGTAGAGGGCGCGCCCGTCGTAGAAAAGCGTCTGCCCAAGCGCAGGTTTCCGTGGTGCCCGCGGTCGCGCGCGCTCCTGGTCCGGCTGAAGCGGCTGGCCGGCTCACACGAGGCGGCCGCTACGCTGCTGGCCAAGCGGGCGCTGCCGCTGTTCCCCAACGGATTCGTGCGGATGCCCACGCTCCTACGACAGGCCGAGTGAGTCCCACGCCCACTCACATGCCCACGCTAGGCTCCCAAGCCCACGCTAGGCTAACACGCCCACCCCAAGCCTACGCTAGGCTCCCAAGCCCACACTAGGCTCCCAAGCCCACCCCTCATGCCCACACTAGGCTCCCACGCTCACCCCTCATGTCTACACTAGGCTCCCACGCCCATCCCAAGCTCACGCTAGGCTCCAACGAGGCTGTTGCCACTCTGCTGCCCAAGCGCAGGTTTCCGTGGTGCCCGCGGTCGCGCGCGCTTCTGGTCCGGCTCAAGCGGCTGGCCGGCTCACACGAAGCGGCCGCTACGTTGCTGGCCAAGCGGGCGCTGCCGCTGTTCCCCAACGGATTCGTGCGCATGCCCACGCTCCTGCGACAGGCCGAGTGAGTCCCACGCCCACGCCACGCCCACACTAGGCTCCCACGAGGCTGCAGCCACGCTGCTGGCCAAGCGCGCGCTGCCGCTGTTCCCCAACGCATTCGTGCGCATGCCCACGCTCCTACGCCAGGCCGAGTGAGTCCCACGCTAGGCTCTCACGCCCACCCTAAGACCACGCTAGGCTCCCAAGCCCACGCTAGGCCCCCGCGCCCACCCAAGCCCACTCTAGGCTCCCACGCCCACCCCAAGCCCGCGCTAGGCTCCCACGCCCACTCCAAGCCCACGCTAGGCTCCCATG